TTTGTGACTGATTTGAGATAAGGTTCAAAGAAGAGGATTGAGTACAGGATGCCATTGCTATTGATGGAAAGCACCAGATCTTCAACCTTCTGGAGCAGGGGTCTGATGGCCGCAACTATGAATTTGTCTTGTTACTGCTGAATTTGAGAAAGTTGAATGATAAATAGGTCCGAAGTTCGGTGAAGCAGTTGGAGAGAGACTTAGGGAGGAGCTGGGTGGAGGGCTTGGTAGCGATGTAAAGATGTGTGTCGTATTATAGCCAGTGTTGGGAAGGTTACTTTTAAAATGTATTCCCCTACAGATTACATACCCCAAAATGTAGTTTGTAACGTATTAAATTAAATTACAAAAAACATTAAATTACTTAAGGTGAGTAACGTAATCTGAATACTTTGGATTACTTGGTTTGCTGTAGAGAAGCAAAGACCAGGATATCTTCACGTAAGAAGTTTTGTCTGACAATGAAAAGCCCAGTCTTTACTTAACCGTATTAAAAATATTACTGATAGAAGACGAGGAGACACTGTGCGCGCGGTATGGTTTAGTCCTGTTAAATCCTGTTTTAGACCTGGTTTAGTCCTGGTTTAGACCTAGTTTTGACCTGGTTTAGACCTGGTTTAGGCCTAGTTTAGACCTGGTTTTAGACCTGGTTTAGACCTGGTTTAGACCTGGTTTAGGCCTAGTTTAGACCTGGTTTTTAGACCTGGTTTAGGCCTAGTTTAGACCTGGTTTTAGACCTGGTTTAGACCTGGTTTAGGCCTAGTTTAGACCTGGTTTAGGCCTAGTGTAGACCTGGTTTTAAACCTGGTTTAGGCCTAGTTTAGACCTGGTTTTAGACCTGGTTTTAGACCTGGTTTAGGCCTAGTTTAGACCTGGATTTAGACCTGGTTTTAGACCTGGTTTAGGCCTAGTTTAGACCTGGTTTAGACCTGGTTTAGGGCAATGAGAAAAAAAAAAAAAAAAAAGGATACAGCCCAAAATGTAAAAACAGGAAAATACTGCTGTGTAATCCATTTATTTCAACAAAGTAACTGTAATCCAATTACCTCTCACTGAAACAGTAACTGTAACTGAATAGAGTCATAATTTGTTCTCTGATTACGTAACTCCGGTACATGTAATCTGTTACTCCCCAACACTGATTATAGTGTATGAGCAGAAGCTGATTCTGTGTTTTTATGATTTGTCCAAGGGGGAGCATATAAATGACAAACAGAAGTGGACCGAGCACAGAACCTTGCGGTACACCTTAGTGGATGAGAGAAGAAGATGAATGGGAGTCAGTGAAAGAAATTAACTGTTGTCTGTTGGAAAGGTATGAATGAAACCAGAAAGTGCAGAACCAGTCATTCCAGTATATCTGGAGAGGCAGTCAAGGAGGATGGAGTGGGAGACAGCATCAGATAAGACAGGAGGATGAGTATGGTGATTTTACCTGAGTCTGTAGCTCTGGGTAGGTCTTTGTGATCTTGATGAATGTTTTTTCAGTGCTATGAAAGAGTCTGTATGCTGATTGGAATGGTTCACATGAGCTCATGGCTGGTCATATGATGTTATATAAACTAACTCGCAGCTGCAACTTTCCCATGAACTTGTGAATAAAAATGTTGCTTTATTTGTACAGTAAGATTGCTGTTACGCTGTTATGACAAGCTGTTTTATTTTGAAGGAGGCCTCACACCTGCCCTGTTTGATGCGCGCTTTGCTTCCTGTAGAGCTTTTGGACAGGAGCCCCGGTGCCTCATAGGGGCTGAACAGCAAAGAAAACCTCAAGCGGACCTGAAAGAAGTTACTTTAGACGCCAGTAAAAGCTATAAAAGAAGAAGAAGACATCCTCTTGAATCTTCAAGGTAACTACATCGTTCATCTGCAGCCACAGGGGCATCGGGGAGCAATGAATGGCTGTGGGCTGTTTTTTTTCCCCTTTCTTTCTGCAGCTAGGTTAACTTCAGGCTTTACGCTAGCTACGCTGGCTACAGACTATAAGCGCTCCGTTAAAAACTTGCGTTATTATCACAGCAATGGTGGGATAGGTTAATTTACGACGGTCATGTCCCAAAAGACCTCCCTTTTTAATTTACATCTTCATCAAACCGTTTGTGTTTGCTCGTGTTGTTCTGGGGATTTGATGCTTACAAAAATGTCTGAGTCAAACTTTTTCCACAGTCGAAGAAGCTGGACACGAAATGGGGCTTTCCTACCAAAAATGACAAAACTTTGAAGAATTAAAGAATAAACAATTTGTACGGAAGCAATCCAAACACACCTTTAGCGTCGCACCTACTATCGCCTACTACTTTATTACTGTAGTAGCCTATAGTAATAATATTAATGATCGCCTAGAAGTCAAAGATACTTAGTGTTCACTTCTTCTGTTGTGTTTTTACTGCGTTTTAAAGGAGGTATCGGCATGTGTTAGCGCTACACAATGACATGGTTATTACACGAGTAGCCTGATAACATTAAAAATCGGCATTACATTAGAAAGACTATGGGGGGCAGTGTGTCATCGCCCTATTTACAACTGGACAAAGTCACACCTGTTCCTGTAGTTGAGGAATGCACTCTCGTTTGTTATCTGTCAGCTTCAGGTCTAGCCTCAGATGACACCGTGTGCGATCTTCTGAAGACACCATTTAGTTGTCAATACCTTTTACATAGGATAGAAATAACCCAATTGTAACCCTTTCCAAGTAAGGCTTTACAAAAAAGAAAAAATAATAATCATGCATAATTTTTACTTTATTTAATTTTGTCTGATTAAAATAAAAATACAATGGCTTTCACTATTAATTTCCCTTACATAAATCCCATAAACAATGATAGTGTGGACTTTTAATCAGTCATTTAAAACAAATAAATAGCTCCACCATAGTATGAACTTTATTCCAGACCATATGCTTTTACCCTCCACCAAAAACGCTATATTGTGCACCTTTAAATAATATGGTAAAATGAAATGCATAAATAAAAAATACTATACCGCTATGGTATGAATCCACTTTCGAGTGTGATGCAAATATCCTCATTTGAAGATGTAGTAACTTGTGTTTGCTTTTTTATTTTATCACATGTAACCAACCTTGACCACATCCTGCAGCTGTGTTTGACAATGTTTTGTTTGAGTTCAATAGGATGTGTCAACACGAACATTACAGTATTATTTTTTCAAAAAGTAACCAAGTCCATCTCTAGGTTCACTTACATTCAGTTAATTTATAAAACTGAGAAGCAACATCAGTGTCAAGTAAAACAGCATTGTGTGTAAAATGGTGTAATAACTGCATTGTATGAAGCTAGTGACTATGATGACCCTGGAGTTGATAAGATTACTGTCATGTCCTCTACTGCTTTGTTGGAACTTAGTCTAAACAATAGCTACAGGGTACAGAAATCTACATTTTAACAAGTGTTTCTGCAACTCACATGCTTCTGACAGTGCACAGGAACAAATCACAGGTGTACTTTAAAGCTTTTGTATAGCCTGAGGCCAGCTTTCTGGCTGTAAACATGAACTGTAAAATGCCAATTATTTTTCCTTTTTTATGGCAACTACTAAAAAAGAGCTGTATTTCACGTAGCATATTGTAATTAATTAACAAGGGGCTGTAATTAAAAAATGTCACAATACTATTTTTACATAAGGACATATATTTTTCTGGCCCTCTGGTCCCAGGACATAACATCATTTAACATTTAATATGAATGTCTCTGGTTTGCTTTCAAATGGCTAAATTAAACAGTGAATGGCATTCATACAATTGGGCATAAGTACACTTTGTACATTCCACTTTGCTTTGTCAGTTCAAGGCTATGTCTTTTGTATTTGTTTTATTGTCCTCCAAACAGGTTCGACAAGTTTGTTGGCTCACAATAGACAGATAGATTGACTGATACATACTTGCACACGTTGACTTCACTTATTTTTAATCACTTTTATTTAATATTATACACACGCAATGGGAGTTCACTTTTTAATTATAGGGTCCAAATTCACTTTTTAATTAATGAATTACCAAAGAATAACAAGGGTTTCCATTTATAATTTAAATTCTTGTTAATGTTGGCAAAAATAGTTTTGTTATTATTCACGTGTGAATTAAAATATCTAATGTATTTGGCGCACTGATAGTCTGTCACACTTTTGGGTTTCTGTTATGATATGACTAATCCTCCTTATTAACGCCTTAGATACCAGTTTTTGTTATGGCCTACAATCATTGTGAATAATTTCTCAATAATTTCAAAATAATACTATTTTTTTATACTTACTATGATATGGACTATGACTGTGACCAGCCTGACAATGGGGATATTCAGTGGTAATATGGATTTTAGGGCTATTTTAGTTTGTTTAATGTACAAATTGTGCAGTTATTTATTTATTTATTTATTTTTACTGGTTATTATCAGTGTGACTGGCCTTTCAGTGTGGATAATTTGAAAATGAAGTGAAAATCTTAATTTTTACTAAACTTCACTGGGCTTGCTTCAGAAAAAGGAACTGAATTGAGCATGGGTCAAAAAATGAGTTTATAATGGAAGTCAGTGGATACACAAATTTCTGAAACACACTCAGGGTTTACAAAATGTCACTAAAATTGTCAATACATATGTCTAAAAATGTGTAGAAAACATACATCTGTGTGAATTTTCATGACAATTTAACAATCACAGCCAAAGTTATAAATATTATAAATATACCTTCGGATGCACAGATTTCCCTCAACAAGGCACAAGGGTTAAAATGAATGGATGTATGTGATGTCTTAGTACATTTAATATTAAACCCCAAAGAATAAATTTTTACTTCTTTTAGGTAGTAACAGTACATTCTATCAGTCATTCAAAATTGGAACAACTAAACTGTATTTACCAATGAATAAATGTTTAATCAAATTGCACCATTTTTTTCTGCAGCCAATCCAAAGGCTTGTGCCATCTGTGAGCTCACTCAGCCCCTCCCCCCTCTCCTACATGGCTCTGTCACCTTTCTCTGCCTCTTCCTTTTCCTTTCCTCCCCTGCTTGATGGTTTGAGCCGGCCTTTTTTACTTTCATGTTTGGTTTCAAAATAAGTCGATATATAAAGGTTGAAAACGTAAGGGTGTGAATCCATTGAAGCGTGAGATGGAAAAGCACGCAGACATTTTGTCCAAAAACCCTCATGTGAGTCTTTTTTTCTTTTATTTATTTGCTGTTCATGGTTTCCTTCCTTTTTAGCCTTGCCATCAGCCGTTAGCTTTGGTGCCTCTTATCAGTGCCTCTGTTATGTCGATCCGCTCTAGCCTTAGCCTTTTTGCATGTATCCCTGCCCCCATACCATAAGGCTGGCCGTTGATGCTGTCTTGTGACGCGGCTGAAGTAGCTCTTTATGAGGGTGTGCTTTGTGTGCTTTGAGCTCACAATGAAAAAGACATTTTTCTTTTAATGTTGTGAGAGATTAAATACACCATGTCTTTTCCAGCATGTGCTCTGCTTTCTGGGGGAAGACAACATGACAAAAAAAAAGAAGAAGAAAAAAATAAAAATAAAATGAAATAGCGGTGCACTGCACACAATATATTACAAATGTCATGTTTGCAATATTTGAAATTCAGCAGTAGGGATGGGACAAGAGCTCATACCACAAGATTTCATGAGATGAAATTGCCACAAGATTGTGCACACATGAGAATAATGATCTTGTGAGATTTTATACCCCTTAGATTAGTTAAGAGCTAGTGAGTTATATAATTTGAGAAGCTGTAGTTTGAAAAAGCAGTAGTACAATTACTGCTAAAGTGAAAAAAAAGACCACTAGTGAAACCAAAATTGTTGAATGGATTGCACTACTTATTTATTACAAACTATGTCAAAATCTTGTCTTGTCTCCTTCTCGTGGACCTGATATCGTGGTGTATCTCGTTTTGTGAAAATTGTGTCTCATTCAACCTCTATTCAGTAGTATTTCTTTAAAAATAAGTTTTCTTTTCTTTTATCAATGTGTCATTCCAAGTAATTAACATTTTTTCACAGTATACATTTTTTTACTTGTACTATGCTCATTTTCTTAGAAAGAGCCCCCAAAGAGTCTATAGCTTCCACTTTTTAACCCAATTCTGGCCCAATATGAACATTTTGGTGGTAGACTAAGCCTGACATTCGACATTATCCTTAAGTGAACCAAACCTTAACAGAGCTCTCAACCATCTATCTAAACATGTATTCCTTTATCTCCCCACAGCTTGAACCATAATATCTAGCTGTGACTGTTCATATTGTTTCAGATCAATGACCCTTGACTCACTTTTTACAAACCCAAGAATTCTGCCTCTGTGAATTTTCTCCCTGTGGTCTGAATTTAAAGAGACACATGATGACACATGTCATCTCACAATAATTAGAACTAATCAAGCCCAAATGTTAAAACAAGATCATTTTGTCGATAATCACATCTACTTGTTACTAAATTCAATGGAGGCCTAAATCCTAAAAATACTTGAAGTTCAAATTCCAATTATGTGTGAAATGTTTGTGAATGTGTATGTGATAAATTGGTGATTGACCAAGGCTAAAATTACTGATGCACTGTCAGACTTGACATAAAGCACTGGTGACGTGGACTGGTCAGACTTGTTCATGGTTAGCACAGCACACAATAGTCATACAAGGAAATTGACTTATTTTTTAATAGAAAAAATCCCTAGATTCACAAACAATAATTACATGTAATAAAGGTCTTCGACTGGGGAATTATCTATGGTGGATGATTTGAGCTCTGTTCTTCCACCAAAAATGTGCTCTACCCCTTAACTGCAAACATTTCGATGCTGCACAATGTACTGCTGTTTGTTTTTTTTGAGTGACAAGAAAAAATCTTGCCAGGCATTTTTTAAATTAAATTGATAATTTTTTTCTGCACAGCATGTACAGAAATGTTATAAACATTTACCAACTTTGTAATCTAAAACTGTTAGAGTAATTGTCCTCATATTCTTAAGCATCTGCCCATTTGGAAAACCCAAGTGAGTAAATCTCGGGAATGTTCTGTATTAAAATTCTAATTGTTAACAAACTTAACCGTGTTTTCTCTTTTTTGTATTTCAACAGGAATTATATTATCTGAGAATGCAAAGAAGCAGAGAAAAAATGGAGAGAGGAGAATCTGAAGACCAACACTTGGTAACAACACAATTAAGGAGATGTCATTTATGTTTATATATGTTTATGCTGAAGCTTAGCCCACTGACTTGTGTGTTTGTTTGTTATAGTTACAAAAGCGGCTAAGGGTTTGCGTAGCAACTTGCAACAGAGCAGACTATTCCAAACTCGCCCCCATCATGTTTGGAATCAAAAATCACCCAGAGGACTTTGAACTGGAAATAGTGGTTCTCGGCTCACATCTCATTGATGACTATGGGTAAGGAAAATTCAACCAGAAATACAGCTGCTTGATCCTGGAAGTAAATATAGACGATAAACAATACTGAATACTGAACCTAGTAGTAAGCATAAAAAAACACTTTAATTGCACATAGAAGTTATTAATTCATCATATAGTCAATAACAATTTCCTAGTTGTGCAAAGAAAATGTACATACAAATACTGAGCCTCAAAATGTATTGTTCCAGCTGTCATATATTGAATGATAAGTCGATATAGTAATTATTGTGACAGGCCTACCTGTAAGATCATATTGACATTATTTGAATCTGTACAGACTAAAGTTAAGCTGTAGAGGATTAATATATTTACAATTGATTTGTGATTCATGATTTTAAAGGCAACTGTGTATTTTTATTGGGTGGAACTATAGTTTTGAGAACAGAAGTCATTTAAATTTTTCAAATACATAATTTTTAAAACTTTATTTAAGCAATAATTAATCAATCATTTAATTAGTTGCAAATCCCTAAACAAAACAGATATAAACAGAGACAAATGCAGTTCACTGTATTATTATATGTGCACATTGTCAGTACAGTTTACATGAAGAAATACACAATTTTTAATCCTTTTATCTTCATAACTTAAAATGTCTCAGGAATGGCAGTGCTTAAGACTTGTATGTAGCATTTCTACCATAACAGACTCTCAGAAATATCACAGAAATATCACCTTATAACCAGATATTGTTATATTTCAAATGAATAGTAGAAAACCTGCAGACAGAGATGTCAGAGATGAGACAATAAAATAATTGTCAGGTACAATATATCCCCTGGGGTACAGGTTGTGCAAATAGAAATGAAAAGGCTGAGGACATGGGTTGGGCAGTTAAAAGCCTGAAATAGGGGAGAGAGAATGAGCAATTTTATGAGTCGCTAGAGACAAGCAGGCCATGATTGGCTGACAGCAGCAGGCAGATGATAAGAGGCAGAAATCAAACATAAGCTTCTTGGTTCTATTTACTCTTCATCTCATCAGACCTGAATGTAAGGTTTGGTACACTGAATGTTTTATTACTACATTATTCATATATATTTTTCTATCTCCAGGAACACATTTCGTATGATTGAACAGGATGACTTTGACATCGGCTCCAAGCTTCACACAATAGTGAGAGGGGAGGATGAGGCAGCCATGGTGGAAAGTGTGGGTCTAGCCCTAGTGAAGCTCCCAGATGTCCTACAGCGACTGAATCCAGACATTTTGATTGTCCATGGTGATCGTTTTGATGCACTGGCCCTAGCAACAGCTGCAGCTTTAATGAACATTCGAATACTGCATTTAGAAGGAGGAGAGGTGAGTAATATTGGGTGAATTTTGTATTAGGTCTCACATTCAGCAAAGGGGTCCAATGTGCTGGATCCTCAGCATATACTAAAAGCACATCTCTTCCTCACCCTCCCCTGGTGGTCTCATCCTTTCTCCAAGCTAAGGTCCTCTACCAGGGGCCTGGGAGCTTGAGGGTTCAGCACAGTATTCACTGTTCCTAGTACTACACTTTTCTGAACTGAGATGTCTGATGATTTTCTGAGATTTGCTGTAACCAGTCCTCCAGGGGGTTACTGCCCAGAGTGCTCCGATGACCAAATGCACCGCTGATGCCTCACCTTCCAGGCCTTCACCAGTTCTTCTCTGAGCCCCTGATAATTCTGTATTGCATTATCAACCACTAGGGCTTGCCTTTGCTCTTTGTCCACCACCACAATGTCCGATTAGTTCACCGTCACCACATCTTGGCTCGGACAGTACTGGAGAAGTGGCTACAGTACATATAATATATGCTTGCAAAATGTTCCAATACTCAAAAGCATCAATCCAATAGTTTTTGTTGGTATGTCTACATTATTTCTTGTTTTAATCACTCTGCTGACTTTGTTGTAGGTGAGCGGTACAATTGATGACTCAATCCGCCATGCCATCAGTAAACTGGCCCATTATCATGCTTGTTGCACACGACGGGCTGAGCAGCACCTCATAGCCATGTGTGAAGACCATTCTCGCATTTTATTGGCTGGGTGCCCTTCCTATGATAAGCTACTAGCAAAGCAACACCAGGACGACTATATGGACATCGTTAAAAGCTGGATTGGTATGTATTTGTTCAAATATATGTGGAAATATTGCTTTAACAGTGTGTATATAAGAGTATACTTGCATTGTTTTACAGGTGATGTCAAAGAGAATGATTATATTGTGGCTTTGCAACATCCAGTCACCACAGATATTCAGCATTCTATCAAAATTTATGGTTTAATGCTGGATGCTCTTCTGTCATTTAACAAGAAGACACTGATTCTCTTTCCAAATATTGATGCAGGTCAGTAACAAACTGCAGTTACCTTTAGATAATGTCAAGATTCATAAAATAAATATATTATTTTAAATTGAACAGGGAGTAAAGAGCTGGTACGTGTGATGAGGAAGAAGGGCATAGAACAGCACCCCAATTTCCAAGCTGTGAAGCATGTTCCTTTTGAACAGTTCATCCAGCTGGTGTCCCACGCTGGCTGCATGATCGGAAACAGCAGCTGTGGAGTTAGAGAAGCTGGGGCCTTTGGTACTCCTGTCGTGAACCTGGGCACAAGGCAAACTGGCAGAGAAACTGGTACATTGTGTGTTTCTACTGAATGCCCTTCACTTAAACACTAATTTTCATTCATGTTGAAATGTAGGTGAAAATGTGCTCCATGTGAGAGATGCTGATACTCACAGTAAGATCTACCATGCTCTAGAGCTGCAGTTTGGGAAACGATACCCCTGGTGAGTCAAACAGTCTCATTACTTTTATGTGCCAATTGTGATGTAATGTACTATTTGAACTGTGCTTCCACAGCTCCAAGATTTATGGTGATGGAAATGCAGTGCCACGTATTCTCAAGTTTTTACATTCCATTAACATAAACGAGCCACTACAGAAGACTTTCTGTTTTCCGACTGTAAAAGAGAGTAACTCACAGGACATTGATCATATTCTGGAGACACAAAGTGCCCTTGCTGTTGATTTGGGAGGAACTAATCTTCGGGTGGCCATTGTCTGCATGAGGGTAAGTAAGCTGTGCTTACATAAAAGACATTCATATTTGAATATTGTGTTAAATGTCCCTTTTTTCACATCAGGGAAGCATAGTCAAGAAATATATTCAGTCAAATCCAAAAACCTACGAGGCAAGGATAAGCCTCATACTAAAGATGTGTAATGATGCCATGCAGGATGCTGTTCGGCTCAACTGTAGAATACTTGGTGTTGGTATGAGAAAACCTGTTAGTGAGTATTTTTATGCAAAATCTATTATGTAATAAATATTGTCCATTACAGGAATCTCATCAGGAGGTCGAGTAAATCCACAAGAGGGCGTGGTTCTGCACTCCACAAAACTCATCCGAGAGTGGTCCTCTGTTGATCTGAGGACACCCATCTCTGACGCCTTGCATCTCCCTGTTTGGGTCGACAATGACGGGAACTGTGCTGCGCTGGCTGAGAAAAAGTTTGGGCATGGCAAAGGGGTGGAAAGCTTTGCCACTGTAATTACTGGAACTGGTAAACCATCATCTTAATTTAGTATCTGTGAGGAAATTGCTTCATATTGACTGACCAATTGTTTGACATTGACATTCTTGTTCTATGTTGTACCTGCTCTCTGTGAAGCACTTTATGATTTTATCGGTGAAAAGTGCTGTATAAATAAAGTTTACTCACCTAAATGTGTCTGTATTCTCTAGGCATTGGTGGAGGCATCATACATAATAATGAACTGATTCATGGGAGCACTTTCTGCGCTGCTGAGCTGGGACACATCATGGTTTCACTGGAAGGACCAGAATGTTCTTGTGGTAGCTACGGATGTATAGAGGCATATGCATCTGGCATGGCATTGCAGAGAGAGGCAAAAAAACTTAATGATGGTGAGTTGATGGGAGTTGATTAGGCCAAAGTACTGTTTGAGTTTTTGTGCAAGTCATGAACACCATGACCATGATTTTGTGGTGTAATCTAAACAGCATCCATATTTCAGAGGACATGCTGAAGATGGAGGGAATGAAGATGGTCGAACCGGTTTCAGCTATTCACCTCATTTCTGCAGCAAAAATGGGCAACTCAAAGGCTCAAGCTATTCTCAATAAAGGTATGCCTTCTTCTCTGAGGTATCAAATACTGTCTTAGTAGTAGTGATTACAGACTCAGGTTCTTGTAAATATGTGTTGCTGTAGAGAAAACTATTGATTAATTTTTTTGAAAATGTAATTAATATTTATTAAAATCTTTCTGTCCAGCTTCCACAGCCTTAGGTATTGGTATTATCAACATCCTCCACACAGTGAACCCATCGCTGATCATTCTGTCGGGAGTGCTGGCTTCATGCTACCAGGCCCCAGTGCAGCGTGTCATCTCGGAGAGGGCACTGTCCTCTGCACAGAATATCAAGGTTGTCACATCAGATCTGGAAGAACCAGCTCTACTTGGAGCTGCTACTATGGTGTTAGACTATACAACCAGAAGAATATACTGAAGGACTACCTAACAACCAAACACATTTCTATGGAGTACATTTGAAGAACTTTAGTTCAGCCTATTAGGGTTATGTTTTACATTTTAAATTTGGAATGGATGACAATCAAACTGTGATTATTGTACATATGCCCTGCCAAATGAGTACATAAAATGTTTTTATTTGGATAAAAAACAACCTTGTTCACTGCTTTAGTTTGTTGTGACCAAATCTGAGTATGTCTTTTTGTGTTACTTGTCTAAAACAATTTTGTTTTTATATAATTTTTTACATGCTGCAATCATGTTGTTTATTATTAATTATTTGAACATAATTATTTAATTTATGGTCATTATGTCTAAGTCTTAAGATGGGACAATTTCTGGAGATGGTACTGTATCTACAATTAGTGCATTTTGTTTTATTTTTTTGTTATTATTATTATTTCTAACACATGACTGTCACACTAAACAAACTGCATCTATGACTGATGTGTTAATAAAATTTTCATTTAAATCCTTTGGCCATTCTTGCAACATAACAAAAAATTAAGGAAGCTGGATAATATTATTGTGTCAATGATAAAAGGCAGATACATTAGTCAGGTGTGTCACCTGACACCTATCAGGTAGAGACTTGAAACTAACCCCGGTAAATAATTAACATTTTAAATGTAGGCTACATGCTTCAACTGAGGTTTTTCTTTTTGGGTTGTTAGCACATAAGATTCTCAGCGAAATAAGCAGCATCACAGAATAACGGTTTTAACTCTCTCTCTCTCTCTTTTTTTAAAAAATATATATATATATATATACCTTTATTTATTAAGAAAGCAATAATTATTATGAAACAAGTCCTTCCGCACAATCTGAATGAATTGCTCCATATTCCCCTCCCCAGTCCTCTCTCAAGATCTGTCACAGTCACGGGACCATATGTGAACGAGTGTGTAGATTCTATTGGTCCAAAATGAAAAATCCTGCTTTCTGATTGGTAGATAACACTGTCAGTCATGTGATCTGCTTTACTATTGGTCAGTGACCAGTTTCCGCTTTGCTAGGTTGGCTGTTTTTTGATACCCTTCTCCTTGCTAATCGCTTCTGGTCAACCGTTACACCTGCCTGTTTTTAACCCAAAGCAAAATTACTTACAATGGATGATTTTGATATGTTAAATGCACCAAACGCAGGCAATGGCGTTGGTTCCGAGGAGGACCCAGCAGCCGCGTTTCTGGCCCAACAGGAAAGCGAAATAGCGGGCATTGAAAACGACGAGGGCTTCAGCATCTTGGACAGTGGAGAGGTACCCTCGTCCATGGGAGACTCTAATGGTCAGTCCTTATAATCATCTCTATATTTTCTGGCTAGCGTTGCATAATCTTGTGTTTTATGTTGCTACGAATGAGTCGTGTAATATTTGGTTGTATTGGGTATGATGGGGTATTTGTGTTTTTGTGAAGTCCTTGCGCTCTTGGGTTTTTGCTAACATTATCCTGTTAAGCGATTCATTGATATTGATTACACTGAGTCGTATTTCTTTTTCTATTTTTCGTTATTTTCCATCATATCTTCAGTTACTACAGCATATTGAAGTGCCTTGAAATGCTATGCGGTATTTGTCTGTCCTTAAAAAATATATAATACTCTAGATATAATACACTCAATAGGCCGCCTGAATACTGGAGGAGTAACATTAGTCATTGAACCTGACACTGGGACGTAGGTGACCGTAATGTTACGTGTAGCTGCAGCGGAGAACCAGACCAGCCCTTAAAAAAACAACAGAAGAACGATCTTTAACCGGGTGACTTATTTCCTGTTAATGAAGCTCATTATTCAGTCACTATTCATACTAATATGCGAGATAGGCAGAATATAGCCTAGACTCTTAAATGGTCTACTTTGGTCTGTTTGTCTATTGTTGCTTCCTACAAACTTGTAATTGTGTATATATGTTACTGTTTTCCTCTAGATGGTGCCATCAACGGAGACCTACATGGGGTAACTGTTTAATGTCTTAAATCATAGTTAGAGGTAGATGTGAGCAGAGCTTTGAACCAGACTGTATCTTACCAAAATGAAACTGCTGACTGTCTTTATGGTGGATGTCTATGAACTGCACTAAAAAACTGTACTATTTCAGTGTTGTAAAAAAAAAAAAAAAGACAAAGTCCATAATTACTTTAAGTCCACAACAGGAAAAACAACCCAAAATACATGTTGACAAAATCACATTCTCAGTTCACTTACGCTCCTTAAGTATTTTTATTTTCTTTAAACAAGAACAATGTGTTCAAATTTTAAAGATAAAAGCTAAAAATACTGGAGCAGTGATTTCACTGTTATCCTCAGAAATGTCACAACAGCCCTTTCCTCTGCTGGGCTTGCAACATATCCTTATTTTGCCAAGGCAAGGATTTTTGACTATCTCTTCCGATGAATATACAGTTGAGCACAATGTAAAGTAACATTTTCCTTCCCAGCACTTTTTTTTTTACAGTTAATTAGCACGCATGGTGGCTGAGTGGCTAGCACTTATGCCTCATAGCAAGAAGGTTCTGGTTTCCCCAGGTTGCCCGGGCTTTTCTGTGTGGAGTTTGCATGTTTTCACCATATCTGGATGGGTTTCCTCCGGGCACTTTGGTTTCCCCCATCAACCCAAAACATGCTCCATAGGTCGCCAGGAAGAATAGCTGATAGCTAATGGATGTCGATTAAATACAGTCAATCAGTCAGTCTTGCTTTGTGTCAGTAACATAAAGTAGTTTCAATTAAGTTAATGTTACAAAAATTATATTTCAGGAAAGCAATGGTCCTTCAGATGCCTATGCAGCTATTTCCAATGCTGATCGTCTACAGGCTGAGCCTGAAAGCCTACGCAAGTGGAGAGAAGAGCAAAGCGAGAGACTGGAGGTGCTAGGTAACAGACAATGTTATTTTGTGTTTTTTGTATTGAACACAATCATACAGTTAGACTTTATTTATATCTTTGCAGATGCAAATTCTCGCAAACAGGAGTCAGAATGGAAGGAGAAAGCTAAGGCAGAACTGGAGGAGTGGCATGCCAGACAGAATGAGCAGCTGGAAAAAACCAAGACCAATAACAGGTACCTCAGCAGGACCATAGAAAAGGAAGACAACATTTTGTAACTATGTATTTTTAGATAGGGTTATCAGAGATAATGCCTTAACTCATACAAAACACATTGTTGCATTATTTATGAATTGATACAAATTAATTGCAGACTATTTTTACCAAACATTCACATAAGTTTGGGAAATTATGTTGGGAGACTTACTTGACTGGAGAAGCACAGTGCTTAAATGGAGTGGTGATATTGCCTGATTAATTTGCACATAAAATCCTCTGGTCCACACGTGGATGAGCACAGGTCACTTGGTAGCTTATGTTTGTGAGCATTGAGCAGTGGAGAGCAATACAGCTTTGCTCCATGTTGCAGAACAAAGATGCTAACGAGAAGTTGAGTTGCACTGTGAGTTCTGTGACAAAAATGAAGGTTGTGTGTATGCTGATACAAGTATTACAATTTTAGCAAACTACTAGACTTCTGGAAAAATTCAAGGCTAACCGGAGCAGCTTGCATCTGTGAACATAAGACCCACTTACACTCACAAGTGACACTGAAGGAACTTCAATCCCACTAAACCTTTTGTTCATCAAGTATATCTTGTTGAAATAATTATAACATATAGTAATGTACTAATTGAATTAATTGCTTTGCCACTCCTATTGCATGCCTGTTTTGTTCACTATGTGGCAATTGTACACTGGTATGTTGGAACACATACCTTTTTACCACTGGGCTCTCTCCACTGTCTCAATCCTGTCTTTACCACTTTTCTCTCTCAATGCTGTCCTTGGTGGACGTTTGCCCAGGGTTCTGGATGAAGACTTCTACAAACAGCCGTTCTCTGATCTCATTGGTTATGTGTATGTGGCTTCAACTAACCCATCTTCTCCATTTTGGTTTGCCTTCACTGATCCCTCCTCCTGGCATCTAATCCCTGAATAGTCTCCATGTGTAGTGATGTCTTTAATTGGACCCAGACCAACTTTGTTCATTAGTGATTAAGATCCGTCTATTAATGTGAATGTCATTGCTTGCTGATTGATGCTTGTATTAATTTGCATTTCAATATATGCCAGCATGATGTACAGATAGCACTGCACATCTCTGCCTTGGCTGTGCATGCATTCAAAATGACCACCTCATCATGAAATCACCAAAATTATTATTTCTACATCTAAAGCTTTCCCCAATTTTTAAACGTAAAAAAAATAAAAATAAAAGGCTTGGGACCACTGTTTGAAGCAATTGTGTATGTTTTAATGAGTTAAATTGGAAGATGAGATGATTTGACTAATCTTAAATATGTGCTTGGTCACATACATTTGCCAATTGCTGTGGTTGTTATTGACAACTATTTGTCAAACATTTTGCTTTGTCAATTGATGTAAAGACAAAGAAATTACTGTATGTAGTTTTGTTTATGATGTAGTATGAGTATGTTTACTTTCTCAACTGGTTATATTGTTTGACACACGATGCTTCAAATGGTCTGTGTCCTCTGCTTCCCCTCTGCTGCATTGACGATATCAGCACAAAAAAATCATTCTTCAATTCTGAGCTCCTATCTGTGTAGCATTTGAGAACAATAGAACAAGAGAACATTTCTGAGGGCAGATTCCTTATATTTGTCCAAATAGATATCGATGTTACAGTGACTTCAATATTTCTTCAGTTTACTAGGCCTGCCGTTTCATTATACACGCTTTCTTTTCCCTTTTTTGTGCTCCTTATTTCGCAGCCTTACCCCTGACTGATGTATTTGTGTCCCTTTTACATACTCAATGTGCCTCAAATTTAGTGTGTTGGAGATCCATGTAATCGTTATGTACAGTATGATGCAGTTATAGTATAATTGGTATTTGACATCAGGGACAGCGTGCAGCCATTTTATCGCAGTAGTCTTTAAAAAGCCTGCACAAAGCTCTGTAAACCTTTGCATGCATGCTTTTAACATCTTGCTGAATTGTCTTTCATTTTGATTTTCTGCTCTCTTTCTTCTAAATTCTGACTTGTAAACCTGTTTTCTTTTCCTATGCATCTTTTTTAAAGCACACACATTAACCATCCTTGCTACCGCCTAGACCAGTTAAGTAAAAACATACTCCAGAATATGTATGATCAATGTTATTCTTCATAGGGGCTGTTAATACCACTGCATTAGCGAAGTTAGTTTCTTTGTTTTATCCCATTCGTGGTGCTGTGGTCCTCTCTATCCCTGCTGTACTTGTTTTATGCATTTATTTATTCTTTTGTTTTGAGGGTATACTTGGAAATGGCAGTGGAATTAAAACCAATAAGGTGGTGTTGTGTTGGGGCTTGTCAAACTACCAGAACAATGTATTTGATTTTATTTTAGCTGCAGCTGCGTGCATGGCCAACGAGCCAGTAGAGCTTCATTTTTGAGGTTGGTTAAAAAAAAAAACTTGTCCCAGAAATTAAAAGTGCAGTATATTTATAATTATAATTTATAATTGTTTTCTATGAATAAATAAAATCATCCTAAATTTCCTAGGGACAAGTTTAAATATGCTTTCATGCATTTTTAACCAACTAAATTTGCTTTAGGCTGTTTGACATTTCCCTTTTAAGTTATAAGACACTGATTAATGCACTATAGACCAAGCCTCCCTGTAATATTAGCATTGTCAATCATTTGTGTCTTGTGGTGTGTGATCCTGAATTAGACTCACTAAAGCATTAACTGACAAAAGTGTGGCCACACCTTGAAGCTCCGTAAAGTAAAAGGGAGATTTGGCTCCTATAACCAGTCATCAGCAGTTTCAGGATTGTTTATATGTGTCTCTTACCTCTTCGTTTTCGCTAAATCTCTTCTCTCTCCCGTCCCTGTCTCCTCCCCTCTGGTTTAGGGCTGCTGAAGAGGCTATGATTTCAGATCTGGATGAAAACAACCCTGGAACTGAGTGGGAGCGCGTGGCCCGCCTCTGTGACTTCAACCCCAAGTCCAGCAAACAGGCCAAAGATGTGTCTCGCATGCGCTCCGTGCTCATCTCCCTCAAGCAGTCTCCTCTGGTCCGTTAGGTACCATACTGCTCAGAGCATCTCACATTATCAACAGTGCACCCTGCTCCACTCGCCTACCTGTCTGCACAGCAAACATGGGAGAGGTCAGCTCGGTTTCCACTCATTCGACGTATTATACATTATTATCCAACCTCAAGCACCAGCTCCCAGTAATCCGAATATAGGTTTATAAAATATTTCTTACAGCCAGATAAAATTAGAAATATCTTTATTAGCAGCTCCAACTCGTGACATAAAAAGGGAAGGGTTGAGTCTGAGTTTACACTTTTAGTCACACTACATGCAGTTCAATCTTCAGACTATAATTTCCGCAGATGCTGTTTTCTTACCGGTCGTAGTGTTAATATCATGTGTGATGTACCCCTTGTCCACTCACCTCATGTAAAACTTTTAAAAGTGTTTTTTTTTTTTTTTTTAAGGACCAAACTGTAAAACTAAAGTTCAGTGTGTACTCTAAACTATGTGTGAAGCCTGCTCTTGGCTAATGTTCAATTTTCCAATCTATGCATTTATTATGAAGTTTTCTCTGTCAGGAAGTAATATAAGACCAGTCATTACAATATAGTTTTTATGTCTGCGCGTGTGTGTGTGTATGTACTCTGTGGACACCTATGTACATATATACAAAAGTCTATATATAAATAAACAAAAGTCTATATATAAATAAACAAAATCAATGAATTTCGATTGTGATGTTAAAACTAGATATTTGTTAGCTGTTCCTTGACCATGTGCATCCATTGTCCTTTAATTTCAATATCAATAAACAAACAAACAGAAAAACTCATTGTTCTCAGTTTTATTGATTAACATGACTTGACATGTCTTGTCAAGTCTGTCAAATGGTTCCCAAACTAAACCCTATTTTTTGTATGCAACATAACCTGTGCCTAACTTGATTTAATTAAACATGCATTGGATTTCCAGAACTGGTCAGCAAAGCTTTTTCATCTTTACATGAAAATAATACAAATTTTACCATACAAAACAGACCATTTTTAAAGTATTCTGCAAACTTATTTTTTACTGTTGAAAAGTAGTGAGTTACTTTTGTAGTTAAAAGTTTGCTGTTACCTCTTTCAGTATGACTTCTTGCTGAATTTGTCTATGCCCTCCCTTGTTTTTAATGCACATTTTAAGCACAATATTCCATCAAATAATTGTGTGAGAAAAATTTAACTAAACCCAATTAAAGGTGTGGTCCTCAGTCAAATCTGTGGAAGTGGCTTTGTGTGTTACGAATTTGCAGTAAATGCAGGACTCTCTTTTCTTTGATCCCCAAACTTTAAATCTAGTCAGTAGTTCATGCTCTTCTGTTTGTTTATACCTTCTTAAAATTCTTTAAATTACATCATATAATAGTCTGAATGGCTCCCACAGAAATAGCCTCTGTGGATGAGGGACTTAGCTGTGAGCTGTTACTGGATCCAAAACGACTCACTTCAGACATCACAGTAATTAGTCATATTCTGTAGGTAAACTACAATTTATCTATTCATAGTAAAACAACCTACAAACCAACATTTAGAAAAACTACAAAAACACATTAATACCTACTCCATTTGAGCTCCTTAACTATGCATTTAAATTACAGTTCATTTATTGTAATGTAAGTAAAAGTATGGTCATATCTAAAAGTTATTCCTCACAATAGCATATTCCTATTGGGCTCTATAACTCCATCCATCTCTTTTCTTCTGTTTATCCTGGGCTGATTCGAGGAGCCAGTAGTCTGAGCAGGGAGGCCTAACTTCCCTTTCCTCTCGACATGGAGGAGCAGTGGCTCTACTCCAAGCTTCTCACCCTTTCCACTGCAGAAGAAACTCGTTTTGACCATTTGTATCCACAATCTTGTCATTTCAGGCATTACTAAAAACTCACAATCATAGGTGAGGATAGGAATGTAGTTTGACCGGTAAATCGAAAGCTTTGCCTTTCAACTCTGCTCCTTCCTCACCACAATGCTGCACTATCAATCTCATGCTCCAACCCTCCCCAGATACTTGAACTCCTCCATTTGAGGTAGAGACTCTCCACCCACTTGGAGAGGGCAAATCACCTTTTTCCAGTCGCAAATCAAGACCTCAGATTTGGAGGAGCTGATGTTCATCCTAGCAGCTTCACACTCAGCTGCAGACTGCCCCAGTGCATGCTGCAGGACCCCCTCCGCCCCTGACTGCGCCTAGAAATTCTTCCTTAAAAACAATGAACTGACAATCAATCTATCAATGACAAAGAGCAGCCCTGAGGGAGTTCAACATACACTGGGAACAGGACAAAATGTGTATATCTAAAGTATGTAAATTATGTTCCTTCTCAGATTTAGACTAGGACCTGTTCAAGGTGGTACTAATTCATAAGAAAATCAATTCTCAAATCTAATCAAATTAAGTTCTATTCTTCACACAAGATGCAAATTACAGACAAGCAAGATGCATAACCTGAGGAATTGATTATCTAGATAGAACAGGAAACAAATAAAATAAAATAAATAACAGCAAATAAACACGGTAAAGTGTCCGCTGCATGCTACTTTAATATTTTATATAAAAATATTACCAAATGACACATTTGAGGGAGGCTTATTACAGACTTAATTGACAGTGAGTAGTGGGGGCCCCTGGGCAGAAACCATTACTGTATAAAATTTCATTTGGGATCAATAAAATATCTATCTATCTATCTATCTATCTATCTATCTATCTATCTATTGAGTGAGGTGTCTCTCTGGCTTTGCATACCTGGCACCTGCTGTGGAGTATTTATAGAGGCGGGTCATTGACAGTATAAAACCTCACTCACCCAGTTTTCAATTCACATTGTTACAGTCCAACAGACAGTGCACACCTGAGTTTTTTTTGTTTGTTTTTTTTTAAACGTAATTGACTCTTTTTTGCAAAATGCCTTTGGAGTTTGAGCTCTGTCCTGGTAGAATGATTGGGGGAGCCCAGCCATGCTTTGTGATTGCTGAAATTGGACAAAACCACCAAGGAGACATTGAGATTGCTAAGAAAATGATCAAGATGGCAAAGGTAAATATGCTCAAATGTGTGTGGTGCCACAAAGTATTCACCAACTACATTCATCTTTGGTTCCTGTTTCATCCGTGTTGGTGGCATTAACCATTTTATCTCAGGACTGTGGAGCTGACTGTGCCAAATTCCAGAAAAGTGAATTGGAGTGTAAATTTAACAAGCGTGCTCTGGAGCGCCCCTACAACTCCAAACACTCCTGGGGGAAAACCTATGGAGAGCACAAACGTTATCTGGAGTTCAGCCATGATCAGTACAGGGAACTAAAAAAGTATGCCCAAGAGATTGGCATTTTCCTCACTGCTTCAGGAATGGATGAGGTAAAGTGTCTGTTTATGTCTTACAGAAATGAATCAGTATCACTGTTTTCAGAGCATGTATGTTAATCTGTCCTCAGATGGCTACAGAGTTCCTTCATGAGTTAGGTGTCCCTTTCTTCAAAGTCGCCTCGTGTGATGCTAATAATTTTCTCTATTTAGAGAAAGCTGCTACAAAAGGTAAGTTTGAGTTTTTGTTGCAGATATGGTTGCAAAAGAAAATCTTACTGACAAAGATACAAATAACAAATACAAAAAGTAAAAATGTAACTGACGAAAAAAGAAGAGTGCACATCAGAGACAATGACTTTACCTGAGTGCTCCAAACTGCAATGTGCTATGAAGTCATACAGCACATGGGTGTGGCAGTGCTTATTCAAATAACATTTTCACAATGATAATTATTAACTGCATTATACAGACTCTATAACACCTGCAAAAAACCTTCTGTAACAAGGACAGATGCATAAGTAAATAAATAAAATAAAAACATCTGATTTTTGATCGATAATACACTTACCTATCTAGAACTCTTGAGTCAGCATATTATTTGGTTAAATGGGTTTAAATACTGCAAAGAGATAAGTAAACATCAGGGACAATGAAAATTACTACCTGGGTCATCCAGACTATAATATGTAACTGACATAAATAGGACTGACTGAGACACTGTGTTTGTTAGGCACACCTTAGTTTTGATTTTATTATTTATTATGTTTATATTATGAAAATATATGCTGTGTATTTACATTGTATTTTGGTACATAATTTATGCTCATTACAAGAGCATGTATTCACACATTGGGTAGGTACTGGACATACAAATAATAATTTCATTAAAATAGATATGAGATAGAAATAACAGTTGATTTAATGTAATTCCCCCATCAGGACGTCCCTTGGTAATCTCCAGTGGGATGCAGTCTATGGAAACAATGCGACGAGTTTATCAGACGGTGAAGAAGCACAACCAGAACTTCACGATCCTCCAGTGCACCTCTGCGTATCCTCTGGATCCCAAAGATGCCCATCTGAATGTGATCAAGGTAAAAGACATGTTAGTAATGGGAACACACGATGCATTGTGAGCAAGCTAGGTAGATGTTTTCCAATTCTATAATATATGTGATTATGTCTTTCTGGTGTAGTATTTTTGTAGTTATTAGGTCTATATGGTATTTTTCAAAGAAATAGCAATAATCACACATCCGTTACACATCTGTTGTATTCACAACAGAATCTCCACATAGTATTTACAATATTTTCTACCTGTGGCAACCTTAGATCCATTATTATTGCTGCTTAATTACTATTCCCCCTCTTGAAGGAATACCAAAAAGAATTCCCAGACATTCCCATTGGATACTCGGGACATGAACAGGGAATCTATATTTCAGTAGCTGCCGTGGCGATGGGGGCCAAATTAGTAGAGCGTCATGTGACTCTAGATAAAACCTGGAAAGGTAATGACCATGAGGCTTCACTGGACCCCTCTGAGCTAGCCGAGCTGGTCAGGGCCATTCGACTGGTCGAGATGGCTCTGGGATCTCCCACCAAGCTGATGCTTCCCTCTGAGAAGAACTGCCATGATAAGGTTGGTGCCATTCAAAATCTGCATCTATAAGGTTAAATTTAATCAGCACAACACTATCTTTTTAATTTCAGCTTGGGAAGTCCGTAATCGCCAAGATGGACATTGCCAAGGGCACAGTGCTGAGTCTTGACATGTTTGCAGTGAAAGTGGGCGAACCTAAAGGAATCGCTCCAGAGAAAATGCAGCTGCTTGTGGGCAAGAAGCTTAAAGTAGACGTGGCCTTTGATGATAGCATCCTGCCCAGCATGATCGAGGGCGATATCTAATATCTGAACATTCACAACATGAAGTACCCTACATAGAATCTAACATATACAGAGACCTCTCTTAAAGTTATTTTGTATTTAGGTTGTACAGGAAGAAACATGCATGTTTGACTTGTGAACCTCAAAGACTTTTAATTGAATATAATTAAAGTTATGAAAAAAAAAGAAAAGTGGATTCATGTTCACCCATGCTGAGTTTAACACTGCTTCTGTTTTTTTGTTTTTTGTTTTATTTATTAAGGAAATAATTAAATGCTTTTGCAGTCATTTTCATACATGCCAAACAAAAGACGTACAAGAGGCAAGAGTAATAACATAAATATACAAGAAAAGATGGAATAAAATTGTAGTTTTTCCATTAATTTCAATTGTTCTACAGCAGATTTTTGTTTCATAAATTTCAGAGAAAAGAATAACAAGTTATTTATGAAAAACATTAAAGTTTTTTCGACTCTTAAAGAATCTATTTTTGTGTAGAAAAAAAATCCTTAAAATGATTATGGAGTTAATAGCTTATTATTTTAGTTATTATAGCTTAGTTATTTTTAATAGATCCGTGGTTAATAGTTATGTTTTATTTTGTTATCTCCCGGAAATAGAAATTTGATCTGAAGCAGTCACATCCTGGTTCCGGGTTCTGACATTTCATTCAGAGCCATTATAGATCTATGTTCAGAGCCAAACCGGAGCCAAGTCGCAGCGTGCATTGACTTCAGGGTGTTGTCTTTTGTACTCGTGTCATTAAGGAAAATGCCTCTGAAGTTTGAGTTATGTCCGGGGAGAATGATTGGAGGTTCTCATCCGTGCTTTATTATTGCCGAAATAGGACAAAATCACCAAGGAGATATTGAAATAGCCAAGGAGATGATCAAAATGGCAAAGGTAACTTGCATTTAAATCGGCGAAACGATTTGTGTACAACAAAAACTAAAGTTCCAAGTGTTTTGTCCTTCTGAACTATTTTTACTATTATAGGCTGTGCATGGAACATAGACTTTGAGGTTGAGGGGAAAAAACTATACAAAAAGTAAATTTTTATTTTTTCCAAACGCAATAAGCTATATAGTCATAAATTGTAGTATTGCTGGCAAAGTGGTTTAGTCTAAGATAATGTGTAATGACTTCATCTGACCGCTACGACACGATGGCGTTGCATCACAGTCTCATTATTGATCTCTCTTTCAAAATTGTGGCTCATTTCTGGATTGCACAGGATTGCGGAGCTGATTGTGCCAAATTTCAGAAGAGTGAACTGGAGTACAAGTTCAACAAGAAAGCTCTGGAGAGGCCTTACACCTCCAAACATTCATGGGGAAAAACTTATGGAGAGCACAAACGCCATCTAGAGTTCAATCATGAGCAATACAGGGAATTGCAGAAATACGCCGAGGAGGTGGGGATCTACTTCACTGCGTCAGGAATGGACGAGGTGAGGAAAGACTTAATATTTAACGTTATATTACAAAGAGCTGACTACAGGTTATTATTATTATTATCATTATTATTTTTATTTTATTATTTATTTATTTTTTTTAACAAATTGTTACTTTTGTTTTGTAGATGGCTGTAGAGTTTCTTCATGATCTTAATGTGCCTTTCTTCAAAGTGGGGTCTGGGGATACAAACAACTTTCCTTATCTAGAGAAAACTGCACAAAAGGGTGAGAGAACCAGTTCTTGATTACTATGACTTTTTCCATATTCCTTCTCCATATTTTTTCTCAGGGGAAAAAAAAGTTTGAAAGCTTGTTAGGGGCTGATCATAATAAATGGTAATTAATAACCACATAATCAGTAATTGAATAGAAAATTCCATTGCAAATTTGTGGAAAAACAAATTAAACAGTTTTTAATGCATTACATATTAAATCAGCGGATCTTATTCTTTAGTATTACATCCTGGTATTAAAAATTAAGTGATGCTACTTTGTAATGCTTTGGGCTGGTTATGTCAGGACGTCCCATGGTGGTGTCTAGTGGGATGCAGTCCATGGAGACGATGCGGCGCGTGTATCAGACAGTGAAGAAACACAATCAGAACTTTGCCATTCTGCAGTGCACCAGTGCCTATCCTCTCGAAGCAGAGGATGTCAACCTCAGAGTCATTTCTGTAAGACATCATGTGTATTTTGTCCTTAGCTAAAATAGGATAAATAGAGCAAAACTATTTAAGTACTTTCATTTTGTTATTTGCAGGAATACCAGAAAGAGTTTCCAGATATACCTATTGGTTACTCTGGTCATGAGTCTGGCATCAGTATTTCAGTGGCAGCTGTCGCTTTGGGGGCAAAGATTGTGGAGCGACATGTCACTTTGGACAAGACGTGGAAGGGCAGTGACCATGAAGCGTCTCTGGTGCCCTCTGAGTTAGCGGAGCTCGTCCGTTCAATTCGTTTGGTGGAGAGAGCGCTGGGCACTGGCATCAAGCAGATGTTAGCCTGTGAGAAGCCATGTCATGACAAGGTTTGGTGCCTAGTCTCAAATCTTTACAAAACCCTGAAAGAAAACCTGTGTTCTTAGATGTTTCCCTATCCACCTTGTGTTATACAGCTTGGAAAATCAGTCGTGGCTAAAGTGAAGATTCCCAAAGGCACTGTCCTGAGTCTGGACATGTTGACCGTGAAGGTGGCTGAGCCGATGGGTGTTGCTGCAGAGGACATTTTCCAGCTGGTCGGGAAGTCCGTGTCCGAGGACGTGGATGAGGACGAGAGTGTTACACCTGAAGTTGTAGACAGTTATGGCAAGAGAGTTAAATCCTGAAGGCAATAATAACATTTGAAATGACTTTCAAAGTAAAGAATGACCCTTTTTATTTAAGGTTTCTAAAACAAGACCTGTCTTATTTTCCTCAATAATTTGAGGGAGGTGCCAACAATTTGATCAGATTTGATAAAACTGACTTTTTACTTGATTTAAAAATAAAATTGTTCTGAAAAAATAATATGGTTCCAATCTTGGATTCTTTGTGGTTAATCTGTGTAATGACAAATCAGTTATATTTCTCAGTAATAGAAGAGTATGACCATTACTTCTTATTTTCCTACTTCATGATATCAGTGCTGAGCCAGGGTTGCGTCAGAAGCTGCAGTTACATGTATTTAACATTATGCTCTCTCAAATTCATAGAATTTGGAACTTGAAGTTGCTATGTTAGAATGGGGGCCTTAAATATACAAATTAACAAAGGCAAGGCAAGTTTATATAGCACAATTCGTACACAAAGTAATTCAAAGTGCTTTCCAGAATAAGAAATACATTAAAATCATAATAAAAACAAATCAAAACATAAATAATCATGAAGATAAAAATTTAAAAAAGAGACATGAATTGGAGAGAAGAGTGCGGAATGATAACCTTTTAGTTATATGCACAGTTAAACAGAAATGTTTTGAGCCTGGATTTAAACAGTGTCACAGAAGAGGCCTGTCTCACATGTTCAGGAAGACTGTTCCAGGTTTTAGCTGCATGAACCTGAAACGCTGACTCCCCTTGTTTAGTTCTGACTCTGGGCACCAACAGGAGGCCGGTCCCTGAGGTCCTCAGAGTGTGAGATGGTTCATATGACACTAACATGTCACAGATGTACTTTGGTGCTCGGCCGTGGAGAGACTTGTACACAAGCAGAGCTGCTTTAAAGTCTATTCTCTGAGCCACAGGAAGCCAGTGCAGAGACCTGAGCACAGGACTTATGTGCTCGTACTTCCTAGTTCGAGTAAGGACCCGAGCTGCAGCATTCTGGATGTTCTGCAGCTGTCTCACAGCTCGTTTGGAGAGACCAGTGAGCAGACCATCAACAAAGAATCACTTTAAACAAGTCTAGGTAATAGAGCCTTGGGTTTCAGATGACAGCATAGCATTCTATAGGCCTATAATATTTAATACAGTTGTTCGGCAGATCAAATTAATTTTGTTATAATGTAGAGTTTTGTTCTGATACATTACAATACATTTTTTGAATTCTAGAGAGTAATCGATAATGGAAATTATCAGGTGTGTTTGTTTACTTTTTGCATATTTCATGGCAAAGTACAATGTAATCAGCAGGCTGGCTCTTCTCACATCACTATATTATAGAATCCAAAAACTATCGTTTTTGCATCGTTATTATAGATGCAAATTTACTTATAACTGTCTAATATTAGACTCATTATATTGATCTCACAGATTAGGACGCTTGGCCAAGCAAGCTACCACAATAAACTCAGCAACAGATTTAGTATGTAAGCTCCTTATCCAAGCTTCACAGAAGATCATTTCAGTCACTTCTTGCTGCCTACCTTTGAAATAATTTATAATGTTTCATGTTTCTCATACCTTTAAACCCGATAACACAATTTACCAGTTTAATATTGTTAAGCTTTGATTAATTTAACATAATTTAACTTTTTACCACAAATATATTGTATTTTACAAAACACAATCAAACTTTTAGTATAATAGTTACCATCTTTTTATTATTATTATTATTATTATTATTACTATTATTATTATTTAACATTTTCAGACGTAAGGGATTTTACAAAAAATATCTATTTAGAGTAGAGTCATGTAGGAGATGTACTTCCCAGTGGGCAGTTCAGGTGAGCTTACTGTTACGTAACATCTCAGGCTTTTTTTAGTGCTTAATATAGAAACCAAAAGACACACTTGGATCAAGGGCCTTTTCTCACATTAATAAATAGATGGCTAAATACTTTATTTATCCCAACATATATATTTTTGGCAGCAACAATGATACATAATAATAATAAAGCCTTAATTAAATTTATAGAGATGCGCTGTATAGCTGTATGGCGTGCGGAACAAATGACTTCCAGAGTGTGTCTGCGGAACAGGACTGGAACAGGAACAACCTATCCCCAAAGGTGCTCTCCTGTCCGGTGATGGTGCTGTGCAGAGGGTGATGGGGGTTATCGAGGATGGACATAAAAAAAGCAGTTTTTGACAGCAGAACCAAAACATTTACACTATCTATTATTAATGATGCATGTTACAACTACAAAATGTTTCCAATGAAAGAAGTACCTGCTTCCTGGCTTTACAGTTTATGGGAAAACTATTTCATAGAAAACAATCTAAAATTTCAACATTTTACAGCTCAGACCCACAGGTATTTAAATCAAATTGTTCTTAAATATTCTAGGAATGTCAAAAGCAGTATAAACAGACAATGACCTAAAATAAATAAATATATCTATAGCATTGGGGCAGTAATATGGTCCCGCTCAGTCACACAGGTCAGATAGTTTGCACAGTTAGCTAATGGAGCTTAGTTCTCACGTGTAAACCCTAACCTGGATTCAACCATTCACATGCTCCCAGGCAAAGCCATCCTCAGTGCAACCTTAAGACTTCAAATTAAATTTAAATTAATTCTGGATAAATATTATATCGTGTCTCAGCTGATATAATTAGATTTTTTTATTACATAAGTGAGCAGTTTTCAGCAGCACTTTATGATCTACTGAAGCCTCCCTTGAGAAGCTGTGAGGGTTAACTATACATAGGTCTGTTTACTGCCAGGTGATGGTGGATGTTTATCTGGAATAAATGGACAGCGTTAGATAAATTGACTAATCTGAGCCCTCAGACGATGCTATGGAGACAAGAGTAAATGACAAGGGGGAGTGGTCATGAAGTAGGAGGAGTCATCAGTCCTGGCTCCTGACCTGGCGTATGAGATCTCCATTTGGGCTCTGCATCCGAAATCTTAAGGGATTTACCTGTAGAGGTGGACTCTTACCAGGACAATATTTCATTTACATTCAAAATTCTGGATTTGGATCTGCATGGAGACAGATAACAGCCAATGGGATATTTTCTTGTGAGGTACAAAATATGCTACAATTGTGTAGTAGTTTGGACCAACAAAATTAGTCTTGTATCTAATATAATTAGTCTTGTATGCATATAATGTAATGTTGTGTTGTGATTCTAAACAATGTTCTGATGCAATGGTGAACAAACTCAGGAGATATTTAGGTGTTATGTCTTTTTTTTTTTTTTTTTGCTTTTCTCCTGCCTTTCACCAATGAACCAATCTGTTTAACAACAGGTTTGTTCTTTTGATGAAGAGAGATAAGAGCAAAGATTTGTGTCTTTATTTGGTAATGATTTGTTAGGTTTAAGTCCACTTTTGACTTTGTGCTGTGGCATCAGTGAACAGGGACTCAGGATAATCTAAGTATATCTTCTCAGGGATTAAATAGCATCCTAATGAGCTTTGTCCAATGTCAGAGCTCCTTTTGAGACACTGTTCTCAGCACAATGTCAAGAAGGCCATTCTATCAAAACCCTGTTAATACCACTGCTAATTTAAAGATGTAACTTCTCTGGTAGTGGATGTGCCATCTGCTTATTTTCAAGGTGATGCTATGCTATTTGCCTGGAAAGTTCCACAGTATTGTATTAAACCTATCTATCTCCATGGAGACAAAACAGGTATGTAGAGAAGTGACCAAGCTCACTGTAAAAAATCATGTTTTGAAGGTATTTTTGAGCAATAATACACTGGTGATTGAATAAATGCAAAATAAAACTATTTAATGTGATATTGTGGAACATTCAGGGCTACACAATAACAGTTCCATGATACAAGCAAGTGGAGAACCCTCCACTTAAGACTTTGTTTATATATATGTTGTTACATCCATTATTTTAATAATCATGATACCACTTTGTGTGCTGCAGGAAATAATATGAGGAAGCCTTTGAATGGGTAGGACAAAGAAGTCAGTGTTTCCACTGTGTTTAGACCACGGAGCAGCATGCAGACAAATCGGTGAACCGCTGCGTCCTGTCAAGCCCCCACCTTCATAGTTGACCCTGGGCTGTTTACACTAAACAACATGGAGTTCATAGTGCCCCAACACGGTCAGGATGTGTGTCCCTCTGCCCCCCTCTTGGACAACCCCAGTGGCTCCCGGCTGCACTACAATGGAGTCAGGAGGAAGCTGCGGCCTGGGAGGATCTTTGGTTTCATCCTGAGTCTGGCGGTGGTCTGTACAGTCTGTTCATGGAGTGCCTTGTCTCTGACCACCAGGGCTGGAGTGGCACTTCACTCAGAGGTGTTTGGTTCAGAGGCAGCTGTGCCACGGAGGACTCTTATGCAGCACCCAAATGTCACAGAGGACACGCCAGAGGCCATGAAGTCATCATCAGACATTGAGATGAACCACGGGGACTACCCAACAGACTACTTTACTGTGGAGGAGAGGCGCCAGGGCTTTGTGGCGCTTCATATGTTTGGCATGTTGTACATGTTCATAGCCTTAGCAATAGTCTGCGATGAGTTCTTTGTCCCAGCGCTCACTGTTATCACTGAGAAGTTGGAGATCTCAGATGATGTGGCAGGAGCCACCTTCATGGCAGCAGGAGGGTCAGCTCCAGAGCTCTTCACTTCAGTCATAGGAGTATTTGTATCACACAGTAATGTAGGCATTGGTACCATAGTGGGCTCTGCTGTCTTCAACATTCTCTTTGTGATCGGCATGTGTGCCCTTTTCTCCAAAGAGGTGCTGAACCTCACCTGGTGGCCTCTGTTCAGAGATGTCTCATTCTACATTGTTGGGCTCCTCATGCTCATCTATTTCTTTTTGGACAATCAAATCACGGTGGGAGAGAGTGTGAGCCTGCTGCTGTGCTACACCAGCTACGTGACATTCATGAAGTACAATGCCAAAGTAGAATTATTCATCAAGACGACAATAGGCAGCAACCAGGTGGACGAACTGGAGAGTGCACCCAAGGTGAGCTACAGTCTTATACCCATCTCATCTCTCATTAACCCCTTTCGATTTCATTATGTTTCACAGGGTGTCATCAGTTATAAATTTTTATTCTAAATGTATTGAATGCATTTTCACAACACAAGCACAGACGGGGTGAATCCCTCTCTTCACTGATATCCTGTGGCTTTTGTCCAAAAAGCAGAGGCAGACCTCTATGCTGACTAACAGGCCTAATCCGCTGCTCCTTATATAAAAACAAGGTCCAGACCAGAATACACTCAAGCTCTTATTACAGTGTGACGTAATGGGATGGGAAATGCACCCAATACAACTTGATTTAATAGGCAATATAACAAATATTCATACAAATCTGTAATAATAAACTACCCCTTTGTTTCTCCAGTTGTTAGGGTATTGTCAGGGGTTGACCTCTATTATACAAGCACCAATTTTCACTTAATTCAAGTGTCTGCGAAATGTATCGTTTTGAAATTTACTCTGATTACTGCCCAGAATAAACAGTTGAGTGCACCTGTTTGAAGAGTCAAGGGCTCTGCTCCTTAGTCCTTTTTGTTTGAGTGGCAGGTCTAGTTTTTAAATGGTGTCTCTGATTGTGTACCTCTTGTTTGAATGTGCAGTTGGAGTCTGATCTGTTGCTCTCTGATGTTGTAATCTCATACAACACACAGGTGATAATTAAATGTTAACTATAGTATTTAACAATATATAAGCAGTTTGTCCATAGCATAGATTCAGTAACCTCCCCAAGTCTTCAGGGGCGTATACAGTACATTCAAATACCATTGGTGAAACATACACAGTTTATATTTTTACTATGATCAGTATGAAAGTGCAAGCATATTCTTGATATTAATTTATCTCAAAATTAATTCTGAACTTGAAAAGGCTTGAAAGACTTTATGTGCATCTGAGATTTCTTGACATGTTCCACAGATTCGAACAATGTAAAATCCTCCCTGAGCTCACAGTTTTTATTGTCAGGTATATGTCACCTTAGATCAAACTTTCTCTTTCTCTCCTGTGGCTGTACACCATAGGTCCATCTGCCTTGGCCTCATGTCGGTGGCTGCTCAATAATCCTCAGGTTAATGCCCTCCAATCTCATTAGAGCAGTTAATAATAGTCCAACACTCACTGGGGAGCAGAAATCAGCACATATCACACAAGAGAAAATTTTCCTTGCATTTCCACCAATTACACTATTATCGCTGGCCTGAGTTAGGGTTTTATTCCAGCTGTCAACTGTGTGTCCATAGAGGATGTAGATCAGCAGATGCTTTTGCTGAATTCACTAAAGACTTCAATCCTTTCTGATCCCCCTAATCAACTGCTTACTGCAATGACGACAACAAGCACAGTCAAACATATTGTCAGAGCTCCAGTCTAACTCGCTTGACAACCAGGCACATTTAAAAAACAGTTTTTGAACAATTTGAGACGATCATGTATAGAGACTAAACTATCATGATTTGTGCTTCAGAATTAGTGTGTCTTGTCCTTGATGTATTTGTTTAAACTTAAACTTATTTAAAATTTGCTGTGTAAGAGCAACCTCAAGTTTTAGAATAAATACATGACATCAGTGTGATTCTGCTGGGGAGGCAGCTTCTAGGACAGAAGAGAGTGAATTAAGAGCTCTGCAGTGACCTATGAAAGGTGCCGAGCTTTCACACGCAGGTTCAGAAAAGACCACTCTAAAAGTGTCAGCCAATTAATCCTGCCTAAACCCGCCTGTCACACGACTGAACGGACTGAACACAAAGAGAAACTACTGACCTTAGCCCCCCTCTACCCAGAGCTTAGGCTCAGCTATAAGGGACTGTGGACTGAAGGTGCTGGATGTCAATCTAATATATAAAATATCTTCCATATCACAACCCCGATTAGCTAAAACAATTACAACATTATTCATACTAAATCATATTTTGAGAACAATTTGCACTTTAAATCACTGACTGATAACATAACAGAATGAATTAAACATAATTAATGCCAATGATGCCCCATAATCTCTAACCTCTCTGACCACTACACACAAACATGCTTTCACAGGAGGTTTGAGCAAGATTCAAACCATCAACCTCCTGGTTAAAGGGTGACTGCTCAGCCACTAGAGCAGCAGCTTGTTAGACTGGCACTGGAACTTGTAAGCATATAGATTGACTGACAAAATGTAAAAGGACCTGATCTGTGATTTTTTGTATTACATTTCTGACCGTTTTACTGAGTGGACGCACATCTAAACATGGTTGTGACTGTGATGTGTAGCATAATATATTGTGTACTGTACCTTCTTATGAAATGCTGATAACTGCATTACATTGACCTGTGCACTTGAATTCTGTTTGTCGTATCTGCGTGTAACAATGTTGAATTGCTTTCTGCAAACATTTCTTTGAAATGTTTCTGAATCCTGAGACCCGTCTTCCTCCTTCCGCTGATTCACTCTTGGCAAACAGGCCCTGCACAGAGTGTGTTTGTCTGTGCTGTATATGTCTCTGAACAGTGTTTATGTGGGTCCCCTCCCCTCTCCAAAGGACTTTAGTAGTGACACTCATGTTTCTGTGCAAACTAGACCTTGTGCTAGTTTTTATCTATATTTCAAATATAGAGCATTTACTTTGTCTCTTAGTATAGAATTGAATAAACATGTATCCATTTGTTTATTTGACAATATAGATTAAATCACATCCCAATGTACTTTCAATTTCTGCAGTGCACTAACCATACCCATTATGTCTGATGACAGTTGTTAATCTTTACACCACAATGCACAACATACGTAACAAATGTTTTGGAGGGATTTTGAAGTGTGGACTTTATATTTGTTTTGTTTCTAAAGGTCCCTCCACCAATTGAAAATGAAAACAAGCTCATGGTAAGTAGTACCAGTATATTTACTTTAGTTAGTTTTAGTGAAAATTTTAGTTAGTTTTGTGAAATTGTTGCATAAAATATTACTAGTGAATTAAATACCACATTTCCATTGAACAGGCTAAACCCAGACTGCAAAGAGAAGGAAGCTGTGCCTCTCTACACAACAGTCTGATGAGGAACAGCATCTTCCAGCTCATGATTCACACCTTGGATCCTCTTAGTGGTGATGGTACAAATGAGCATTCAAGCTTTCAACATCTTTTTACGAATCTGACATTTGAACTTCTTTGTTTCAGGACAATTCAAAGAAAAAGCATCAATCCTTCACAAAATGGCCAAGCACCAGTGTAAAGAGGAAACAATAAATGCCAATGGTGTAGGTGAGCAGAGGAAAGGTGTGTAACAAAGACTAGCCACCAGCCAAAACTGTTTACTTTGAACAGTTCACAGATAATTTAATTAAATGTTATGTTATGTCTTTTTTTCTATCAGCTGATAAAAACATACCCAATAACACCAACGTGGCAGTTGAAGTCACACCACCAATGAATGGTGTTGCTGGTGGTAATGAGGTACTAGTTACCATATTATCTCTATACTGTACGTTAACACTGTTCTGCAGATTTATTTTGGATGTGATTCTATCTTAGGGCCCAGAGGAAGAGGAGGAGGATGAAGATCAGCCTCTGAGCCTGGCTTGGCCGGACACTGCCAGGAAACGCATCACCTACCTCATTGTTCTGCCCATTGTCCTTCCTCTTTGGATCACGCTGCCTGATGTTAGGAGAGAGGTGAGCCCACTTAACCTGTAGATAAATCATCAAACAATTATCATTTCAGAATGACAATAAAGCAGGCTTGACAATGTGACTTCCTGCCCCATAATGTTACATGTTGAGACTGCAACATGCAACTTTTATTATGAATTCAGAGCTGCAGATAGATGTATACTGAAATCCTAATGGTCAATATGAACAAAAATGCTCTGTTTGCTGTAATTTTTCATTGTTTCATTTACAGACTATATACTCTATGTTCTAAATTTGCATACTTTCAGAACAACAATTGTGATATTATAAATTTTTTAATATATTGCTCACTCCTAATGAAGACATCAATCCATTGCAGTACCATCAAAGCATATTTTCTCATACACCTTACACAAACTATAATGAGTAAGAACACTGGCCATTTACCAGCACATGCTTCTATGTAATACCTGTCCCCATTAAAAGGCTCAGAGAAAGTGCTTGTGTTTATAATGATTACCCATTTTATTAAAAAAATTGCCTTTTTTGGAATTACTGACCTTTCCCATAGTAAATATGGTATGTTTTTTTTTCAGACTTCAACAAGGTTTTTTCCAGTCACTTTTCTTGGTGCTATCTGCTGGATTGCATTCTTCTCATACCTGATGGTGTGGTGGGCTCATCAGGTACATTGCATATGTTTCTTATGTAACTGCGAGCCCCACATTACCCTGTGGTAGAGAGCGACTGTCAGGGAGCTGGATGTGTGACTGTGGCAGCTAATGCCAGTTAATCTGTCCTGATCCCCAGCCAGGGGACTATTTTAACTGCACAAGGCCATCCTGCAGCTTGTACTGTGAGGTACAAGGTGACTAAAGAGTCCTCAGGACACTTCATTCAAATAGATGCAGTGGGAATACAAATATTGATTCTTTACCATGAATATAGCTAAAACTCTACAGTAAAACAAAACAGCAACAAAAATTAGATAACTTGCTCCACAAATACAGAATATGTTTGATTGTCTTTGGGCCACTTTTCCTTGTCTGTGTATGAATAAGGTGTGTATGGACGTAGGACGTTAGGTTTGCAGAGGTGACTCCATCAACTGTAGCCACAGACCAGCTGTAGCTTATCTCGTTGAGTGAAACATGAACAAATAATGTAAATTAATAATATTAAATATTATTGAAGGTGTTTTTTGATGTGGGGATATTCTTTAGGTTGGAGAAACCTTCTGGATTACAGAGGAGATCATGGGACTGACCATCTTAGCAGCTGGCACCTCTATCCCTGATTTGATCACTAGTGTGATTGTGGCGCGAAAAGGCCTGGGGGACATGGCCGTCTCCAGCTCTGTTGGCTCCAACATCTTTGACATCACAGTGGGGTGAGTGCAACAAATAACTTGTCCACAAACACACACTGGTCCATGAAGTTACGTCTAAAACCATTTAACTTTCTTCTCTTCCTTCATAAAGCCTGCCCTTCCCATGGCTCTTGTACAACATCATAAATGACTTCAAGCCAGTGGAGGTGAGCAGCAATGGACTGTTTTGTGCCATCGTGCTGCTCTTCCTCATGCTGCTCTTCGTCATTATCTCCATCGCAGCATGCAAGTGGAGAATGAGCAAGTTCCTGGGTTTCCTCATGTTTCTGTTGTACTTTGTGTTCCTGGTCGTCAGTGTGTTGCTGGAGGACAGAATTATCACATGCCCTGTGACAGTTTGAGAGGACAGCCCATGGAAGGACGGAAGACAAAAGACACTTGAATATATTCTCACACCACAAAGGTGGAAAAACAAGTCCGCACAAAAACTGTATGAATCTCATCAATAGAAAACCACAACATTAACATGAAGCTGATTTAAAATGAAACGCTACCATCAAAATTTGTGGCAGAAAAGAATGCCGTCTGTTTGGGACCTGGGACTAAACAAAGCAACAGACGATTTTGTGGCTTTGTGCTGAAAGGTCTGTTCAAGAAGGATATTAATTAAAAGGCCATGCTTCAAGACTTGTGTGTAGCATTACGTAGACTGGGCATTATTAACTGTATCAGTGACAATACAATTTAGATGCTCTCACACCCAATATTATATTATGTGGTTTAATGACAGTGAAGTTAGATATGGCCAAATTACAGAATTTAAGACCATACTTTGTTAAATCCAGATTTGGAAGAATCAGCATTTTTTTGTTGACCAAATGATAATGAAATAATGTCACATAAAGAAGCCAAACAAAATGTATGTTATGAAATGAAGCATTTCTTCTACTCTTGTATCCCAAACATGGATCTGTCTTAGACCTCATGAGGTGATGGTACACACTTTACTGCTTGGTTGGCCTTCTACATGCACTAAATAGAGATTACAGGTACTTCTGCATTAAGCTCAGGAACAAATTACAGCTGATGCTAAATTAATTATTTAAATTTATTGTACTGGAATTTTCTTCTTTTTTTGGCAATTATATGAAAATTTGGGGTGTATTTAGGGTCCGTGGGTTTATTATTGAATGTGAATGATTTGTTAACAGACTGTTGTTAGAGCAGACACTGGTCTTGGATTCGTCCTCTCACTCCTCGTGGCTACAAGCCTTTCATGAACCTCTAACAATCATCATCCAATAAAATCAGAAGGGTGGAAAAAATGAAAAGTCAGCATATGTGTTTATTTCATAATTCTAGAGTATGGACACTCTTTTGAAAATGAATTCCTCTGTGGATGATCAAAACTTGTAAAAAACATATGATAGATTTAAGAACATTATTTCAGGAGAAATGTCAGACTGAGACAACAAATGCTAAAATGGCATAGGGTCAATACATGTGGAGAAACAAGTTTGTATGTTTGGCATTTTCTGTAATTATGTGCTACTTGAATTATGTCTTACAGTGTAAAATACATCCAAATACAAATTTTCTGTCAACAGTACAATAAACAAAAATCAAATACCTCCAGAATTCATGTTCTAAAGACTGAATTATCACCTCAAATTCATTTAATGAAAAAAAGTTAAATCCTGCACATCAAGGCTGGTACCATCTGACCTTCACATCACCAGTCCCTCTGGTCCTTCTCCATCCACCCACCTTCTAACCCTTACTCTCCCACTCCCCATATCCACACTCTAAACTCTCTGTTCAATAACAGCTTGTGGTCAGTCACATCATCTTCCAACTCGGTCTTGTTTCATTGTTTTTAAATCTGTTTATACTCTGTACCATGTCTGGGTGTTTTGAAAAGCACTGATAAATAAAGTGTATTATTATTATTATGCATTTGTTCTTGAGTGTTACCCCAGACAATATATAAAATATATGATAATATAGATACAGTGATTGTAGGCTGAGGCTGCACTGTCATTTGTCAGTGATCTTCTTAACTTCCTCACAAGCCTCTTACAGCAGGCTCCCTCATTCAGTGATGCAAACATAAGGACACACTCACCTGTTCCATACCTCAGCCATCACAGAACCATTCCCAGGTCGTCTGTAACCAAGAAGAAGTTCAAATGTGAAACTAATGTTGCATTCAGTCAAAAAGACCCTTTAGGCTACTCAGAAAAATATTTGAGCAGAATTTAACTGTACTTTTCTTACTTAAGCTTACTTACTATATTTATATTACATATTTAGTTACTTTGTTACCATATCATAGGCTGTTAGGTCACTGCAACCTGAGCTAGAGTTATAAACCTTTTGTGTGAAAAGCACTGTAGGACAGCGGTAAATACAGTTTAAGCAAAAGGCTCTGACACCAGTAGGCCTACATCCATGTTTTGGGAATTTTTTGCTGGTCAGTTCGCAGATTATGCTGCAGCACAGGTGATCCATTTTTGCTCTACCTCCTATTTGAAACAGGCTGGTGTGAAGAAACCTAAGGGTAAAAATAAATATTTTCAAAGAAACTGCATCGAGACTTCTCATAACAAAGCACAATCATAGAGGTTAATAATAATACAAATGTATATGAAAACAGATCATACAAATGATAAAATAATATAATATATAACTATTTAAATAAAGTGTATTTTGTGTTACCTGTATGATAGCCACACATTTTCCTTTGCTGCAATTGTCTGAGCTAATTGTATTTTACACTTCCAAGCGGCAGGGGGCGGTAAATAAAGTTTCACAAGAAGTAGCAGAAAGAGACAAGACGGAAGTGGCAAAAACGTCAACATGTTTTGTATCAGTCACCGCGGCGAGTTACTGAGCTGCTTTGTACTGAGTAGGCTCCTTCTTATGAGTTAACCTTTGTAGTTAGTTACCATGGATGGGCCAGTGGAGCAGGACCAAAAGCCGGCTCCTAAAGTCGAGCTCTCTGCGGCGATGCGGGCCAAGATTGAACGGAACCGACAGCGGGCTTTGATGCTCAGACAAGCCCGACTGGCGAACCGTCCTTTGTCCGCAGTGGAAGGTGCGACCTCTGCAAAAGTGTCCAAAATTATTGATTCAGGCTCTGGGTTTTTCATTGAGGAAGAGGAGAATGCAGTGGAGGAGCAAAGGAGCCGAAAGATGGTCCAGCAGCCAGGTGTGTAACACATGATCTGCTGGACTAAACCCATCACCACAATATGAGTTTAGTGTCATGTAAAACTGTGCTTTTCGCAGCTCCGGTGATTGAGCCAGACTATTTAGTGTGTGATGACTGTGAAAAACCCTTTATGGATTCCTACCTCAGCAACAGCTTTGACCTGTCTGTGTGCGACACGTGCAGGTATGTACTGTGACACTTTAAGTACACTTGGGATGTAATTATTATAACATGAGCTTGCTATCATACACTGGTGCATCTAATGTTAAAGGTATTATATGTAGGCTGTCTATATATTCATAAATATGTTTATTATAACTTATTTATTGATAACCAAAATGACTGACTTAGTTCTAAACTAGTTTAAGTGCATTATTGTCTCTCTTACCTTAAGGATGCCTTCTCTCTTCTGATGCAGGGACAATGAAGAAAAGCACAAAATGATTTCTAGAACTGAGGCCAAACAGCGTTACTTGTTAAAAGACTGTGATCTGGATAAGAGAGAGCCTCCTCTTCGATTTATATTGAAGAAAAACCCACACAACTCTCGCTGGGGAGATATGAAGCTGTATCTGAAAATGCAGGTAACAATGACAGGCGTGACTGTAAGATACATTAAAGCAGACCAAATTTATTTTCATACTTTCATTTCTTATTGTTTAGTATATTTCAGAATGACAAAATATGCAGTAAATATACTAAGCACAGCTAAGAAAATACATTTTGTAAATGGGAAACCCCTGAAGCAGTCCTTAGCTTATGAATGGGGTCCATGTAGCAATTGTACATTGTAAATTGTAAACTGCAAATACAGATAATCTATGTTACCTACCTACTTTTACTTATCTAATTCATTTTTAAAACACCTGTCTTATTACTACTAAAAAACTCAATGTTTACATTTTCCTCTATTAAATGATTTTATATGTAAATAATTGTACACATCAAGATATTAGATACACAGACACATTCATTCAGAAGCCATCAGCCCCATGTGTATGTGTACAGAATTTTTGCTCACTGTGTTTTTCTAGAAGCTCTAGCTGTGATTTCCTTTTAAAATCAGTAAAGATGGGGAAATTTCAGTGTTTCTGCCTAGTGCATTCCAAAACCTGTGGACCTTTACATATCACACTAGAACCAGTACACTATATTTTACACTGTGTTAGTAATAATTTAAAGTCTGGGTCATACATAAATGTTCATTAATGCTGCTTGGCAATTTTTCAAAATTAGTAAAATCAAAATGAAAATCTGCTCCTTGATATGGTGAAAGGCCACTATGAAGAGGCTGGGCAGAGAATAAGTTCTGCAATTTTTAACTAGTTAAAACACTTTGTTTTTAAGTCATTTAGCTCAATAATGCACTGTCTTATTTCAAATAATGTAAATGCTTTGTTTGGTTATATATATCAGGTGGAAAAGAGGTGCATGGAGGTCTGGGGGTCACAGGAGGCCCTTGAAGATGCCCGAGAGACAAGGGAGGAGAACAGAGAAACACAGAAACAAAAACGATTCAACAAGAAAGTAAAAGGTTGGTTACATTTAGTGTGTGACATTAAAGAAAAAAAAAAAACTTGTGTGATTTGTGTATGTCCCCATTGTAGAACTGCGCAGGGCAGTTAGGAGCAGTATGTGGACCAAAGACACAAGTGCTCACCAACATGAGTATGGCCCAGAAGAGGTGATAGATCCAGACGAAGACCTGTACAAGAAAACCTGTACCACCTGTGGACATGAGCTCACATATGAGAAGATGTAGGGAACAATGCAGACACAGCAGATTAAGCTTAATTCAATAACTTCTTGATGCTGGACTATACTCTTATCTCAAGAGTATAATATGGTCAACCAAAGTTGCACCTGCTGCACCTGCAGTGCCTTTCTATTTGTTACAGAATTTCCTGTTTTTGAGTTTTTTTGCCAGTGCCGTACAAGTCACATAGTACTACCCATTCTTAAAAGTGTCTTTTTTGTAAATTGGTTATTTATGGACTAAATTTTAAGGTTTCTGTCTTAAGTCCTTAAAATAGCAATTTCATCAATGAACTAAATAAAGCTAGAGGAACCATGGATACACTGAAGCTGCAACCTTGTAACTCTAAGAAGAGCAAAATTCTAATAGAAAATAAAACAGGGCCAGGTCATTGGTTAAAGGAACTATAAAAAGAATAATCACTCCAATAACTCTCCACTGCTGCTGTACATTTAATACAGAATTAGTGTGCTTGTATGTCAATACTCTGTATGGGTACAATCTGCCTTCACATTATTCGATTGGTCATTGGATAAAGCTCAAGTAGAAAAAGGCAAATCATGTAAAAAAAAAATACAGAAAGAGCTTTCCTGGTTACATTTCAGGAGAATATCACTGTTGTAACTGTTTCTGTAGGTTATGGATTTTTGTACATAAATGACTGCTCAAATATTAAATCTAAATAACTGTCATTCCACTGATACATGAATAAAATGTTTATACAGTCCTAACAGTTTATGTTTTGACAATGTTTAACAGTTTATACATCTTGGAGCTTTGATTCCCAAATACCTCACAATTTCCATTCCTCTGCTTGAGGTATTCATAGTCCTTCGGGGTTTACATGTAACTGTTATGCCACATGTTTTAAAATTGTCTCCCTTATATGATTTCCCCCAATCACCTGTAGCATTTTAGACTTGATTGCTTCAAGTGAAGTTACAGGGGAGAATGCAGGTAAATTGTAACAATCTCCCTTATGAAGCACTGCATTATTCAATGTTAATTGGAATAAAAAATAAAAAAAGATACAGGAATAAGTGAAGACAGATGAATACATGAGTACATTATGAATTTATTCATGACACACAATATTAAAAATCAAATGCTTTCTGAACATCAGGACTCTGAAATACAAATGCTTCCTTTGTGGCTTCAAGTGAATGAGTCTCAATGTCCTCCTGAAAAGTTCATGAAGCCAAATGTTAGCACAGGTCCACCACTACAGTCGCAAATTATACCACAACTTACATCTGAAAAATATTTCTCTATGAGGTGATGAGCAGCCTGGTACACCATCTCATTGTCATGGTTCTGCAGAGCTTCTACACGATCCAATCCTCCCAGCTCCTCAAAGAGCAAGCACAACTTCTCCGTCTCATCAAGCTTCTCTGCTGCCTAAAGTATTACAAGGGCAGAGGTTAGACTGAGGGCAAGAGCTCTGTGTGTTCAATTTATAAACTTACAATGAAGATGTTGTTGATGGCATCCAGAATGACCAAAATAACCTTAGTGTCTTTGACCTGCAGCAAGTTGATTATTGCTTCCAGGGCCCCACTTTGAACCAGCTGCACCACCTGCTCCACACTCCCTCCACTGGTGAAGTTTGTCACTGCCCACACAGCCTCCCGCTGAGTCTTGAAGTCTCCCTGGGAGATAAAAAGCCTCACCAAATTGTATAGTTTTAAAACAAATCCTACAACTTACATTTCTCAGTTGTTCCACCAGAGGGGGCAGTAATCCACAAGTGATGAGCTGCTGGATTTGCTTAGATGGGCCAGCAGCGATATTGGACAGTGCCCATGTGGCCTCCTTCTGTACACTGGGCTTTGGGTGCCTCATGAGTTGGGGCAATATGTTCAACACCCCAGCGTCAATAACAGTTTGTGTCTGTGTGTCTGATCCACTTACAATGTTCCCAATAGAGCGCAGAGATGGGGTCTGGTGGGACAGAAATTAAGAGGCAAGTTAATATATGCCCTCACAAAATACAATTTGACAATGTTAAAATTTACCATAACACTGAGCTCATTGTGGCCCATAAGTTCAACCAACCGAGGGACAATGCCAGTTTTTACAACAACATCTATGCGGTCATTGTCACCGTCAGATAAATACGACATAGCCCAACATGCATCAGACAAGATGTCCTTATCACTGAGATGAAGCAGCTGGATCAGTGAGGGAAACATCTGGTGGACACAACAGACCTGAGCACAAAGCACTGACCACATTATTAACAGAATGACAACTCACCTGCTGCACAGCAGACATGGGTGGAGAGGGGTTTTTATTTCGGCACAAGTTGGACAGGGTCCAAGTCAAATTACGCAGATAGCCAACCTAGGACAAAAACACGCAAATTCAAGTCTGTTCTGACAGCACATAATTTGCTAGATAAACTTACTGGTGTGTCTGGGGAGATGCGGGAAAGCAGTGCAGGAATTACATTACAGTCTATGAGCACATCCCGGTAACGTGGCCCATCACCTGCATCAACAATCAATTATGCCTCCACCTTACAAGAGCCACAGAAAAATCAGTCATGGTTTCCATTACCTGCTATATTGCCAAGTGCCCAGACCGCTTGCTCACTGATGTGCAACAGAGGTGAGGCCAAAAGAGCAATGAAGGCTGGCACAGCCCCATGTTCCACCACCTGGACACAAGAGATTATATGGATACAAACACACCAGTTTAGCTCATCTTGGCCTAAGTACTATCGTACCTGTTGGGTGTGCCATGAAGTCCCAGAGGCGATGTTTGTAAGTGCCCAGGCAGCTTCAAACTGAAGAGTGGGCTCATCGTCCATACTCAAGAAAGACACAAAACGAGACAGCAGCCCAGCATCTATGATCTCTTTCAGAGGAGGGTTTCGCTCTTGAGAAAGGAGTTTCCTGTTGGTAGTTAGAAAACATCTCATCTCATCAATATAATTATGTCCCATTGCAAAGTGCAAATAATGTTGCCACATCTCACCTGGCCGCCTGACATCCCCGAGTTTGTGCCTCTCTGCTGTTACCGTTCACATCTTTGATTATATCTTCGATGGAGTAAGAGGTGACCTAAAGAAAAACATGATGGGAATACATTTAGATGCAGTCCAATGAAGCCACGCCTATTGTAAATGTGCATAACCTTGTCATCGGTGATATACTCCGGAGACAAGGCCTCTTCATCAGGGAGAGAAGAGAGGGTGATGTGTCGCCTTTTCATAAAGTTTTCATCTTTGTGAGCCTTACGTAACTCCACATTAACAGTTATTCTTTTCTCTCTTAATTTCTGAGAAGAAAAAGTACGTAGGCCTAAGTATTTACACTGTTCACGTAAACCCGCGTTGAAAAGCATGGACTTACAGTTGGATCTTTGCCTTTGTTTTTGAACTTGGCCAGCCGCTCATCAGTCACATTCTTGGTATTCTTGGTATTCTTGGTGGTCTTGGTGGTCTTGGTGGGCATGGTGGTCTTGGTGGGCATGTGTGACCAGGTCTGACGGCGCGGCTCACTGCTCCAAACAACCGGCCTCCCTCTGCGCTCAGTTATAATGACACGGGCAGCACACAGGTGCAGGTAATTACTTTAATTGATATAACGCCCCCTTGTGGTTTTCAAATGCTCTACATGATTGTTAACCGAGCACCAGGTTAGGTTCCGTTTTTAATTATTAAACTAAATAAATAAATACTCGACAAATTATAGACTAGGCTATTAACATAGACCTATGTGCTCTCATCCAAATCTATGTATATTGAATAGGCTACTGTGTTATGGCATATTTGGCGCAGTAGATGGCAGCACATTCCTATAATCTTAGAGAGCGGGAGTAAAGCTTCAAGTCGGCTACTGCGATCCTCTACTTGAGAGGGGCAACAAGTGCAGTGTGGTTATTAACGTGTAATCTGACTCCCAGCCACTCGTTTCAATAGTCATAAACACAGCAATTTTACACAGCTACATAGGAATTTGATTACATTTAATTGTATTAGGCAATATAGGCTATTTGTATTTATAGTAGGCTAATTAACATAACAAGTCCATAACCAGCATTCCTCCCTATCATCTGTGAAAATGCAAAAACAAACTTTTTTAGTTTTTTTGTTTCCTTATTTCTGACATTTTTTCTCACTTCCTGTTTTGTTCTTATCTGTCATGCAGTGGGTTAAAATAAAATAAAATAAAATAAAATAGGCGCCAAAAGATCTTGATACATTTGAACTGCTAATAAAATATTAAGAAACCCGCCAGAAATAGCTACATTGAAAGTTAAACAAAAATATATAAAAGCTAACTACACAAATCAGGATATGTATTCTGACTTAAAGTAATAACTTGAGTAGATATTCTGTTAAAATGGTTGGGTATGTGCATGCATTTCACAATAGCCAGAATGAGGTCTGTAACAATTGTCACTTGTGGCTGTGCCTGAATTTTCTATCTCCCTCTCTGTTCCCAGATCAGCTTTGTCTATGGGAAATCATTACAGTATAGATTGTACTGCAGTGCTCTATCAATACTCCTCTACTCACACAGTGCAACATGCTCTGGTTGCAGGTGCTTTCGTTTCTATTAAAGCAGTATGGTTATATCTATGGAACTTGAATGTGTTAACAGTGAAACTTAGATGTACTTAAAATATGTCATAATGATGTTAAACACAAGCCTTCAGAGCCTGCTCCTCAGTTCTTTACTTATTTCATTCTTTTCAAATTGGTGTCATTAATATTTCATGGGGCTGCTGCATTACCTGCTCATCAATAGCACAGGAGCCACCTCTGGACCAATCCATCATCTAACTCTGACTCGGCTGAAAAATTGGCCCTGTGTTGGGAAATTTTGCTGACAAAGCTCTCGGTGGTAGACTCCATAATGCTGAGATGTTGAGGTTAAGATGAAAATGGATCATAAATCATTTCCTATAGGACATGAAAATGATAAAAATAGAACATACTTGAGGAAGAGGATGATCTGTGAGTAATCTTAAATTATCTTACTCAGAAAGTACAAACAGTTTAAAATGTGCCCAGGCTGATACAACATTTACACAACAAAGGTGTTATAGACAACTTTGAGTGAAAGTGACAGTTTAGTCTTTGCAAACCAAGAAGCGTTTGATGGTTACAACTCTGGTAAAGAAGCTGTAAAAAGGTTTTGCGCTATTGTCCCAACCCCTGCTCAGTTAAACACCAATTAACGTCCATGTGTTAGTCCTTCTGTAATTTCCTCTATAGCAGCTCTTTCACCATTTCCAACACTTTGGTGACATGCAGTAAATAGTTATTTAAGTAGTGAGACACGTGGCAAACTTAAACAGAAACTAAATACAAAGGTGCTTCAAAAATGGCTTAACTGAAAAGCAAGGTATGGACACGATATGTATGGACAATATTGATTCTTTTCATATCAAAATGCAAATATAACAAAGGTTCAGTATACTGTGTTTGTAATACAGTAAATATAAGATGTATGATGTATGATGAGTACTTAAAAGTCAAACCTCTCTCAGTGTTCACCAAAAGGTGCATAATTTCTCTCATGGTTGTTTTACTACATCAAGCTGTTATTGCTTTCCCAGCGTTCCTATAGCACTGAACATAGATATTTTTTTTATTAGAGTTTTTATTGCTCAAAAGAATAAACATGCATCTTTATTGCATGTGGGCTCTCCTCTTTACCGATCTGACTTATACCTTGGCCTGGAGGAGCCAACTGCCTGTCTCCATGGAGACAGATAATGTAATGTCATCCTGTGGAACATTCTTAAAAAAGTGATAACAATCAGGTGATGGACACTCCGCCTTAAAAGTTAATTATTATTAATAATTATTATTAATAATAATTGTGCACTTCAGGCTTGCCACTCTGTGCCATCGGCTCAACCAACCACCGATAACCACCTTCTTACCACATTCATACGAGACAAATTGGCTGAAGTGTCACAACGACAGAACTTGATTGAGTGGGACTCCCTCTCTGACCTTCAGGTTGGTGGGTGCTCTAACCACTGAACCACTCTTGCCCCATAAGTTGCAAAGTGCGCCTTTAAGATGGTTTGCATATAGAATAACAACAACACTAAAATCCTGAAGCAACTAGCAGACACACAAATGCTCTGGATTTAAAAGGGCCCAGTGGGTGTAACTGTGGGCTCCGGGGCCATGTATCAGGTGCAGAGGGGCCCCTTACTTGGGCAGTCTGAGGTTCACCTGATGCCCACTGCTGGGACAAAGAGCACTCCACAAACACCATGTAACTTTAGAAGGACTTAATGGCACCAAGATGAAGGGGCTGCTCACACAAACACAACACAGGAAAAGGTTTGAGTAAAGACTTGATTTTCTCATAGTCTCTCATAACAGCACAATTGCTGTTAACATAAAATTCCAAACAGTTACTTTCAAAAATATTTCAGGAATCATGCTAGAAATCTTATCTTGCAAAATAGTTTTTTTTTTTTTTTTTTTTTTATTCCATTTGGCTGTCCTTTTTCCTACGTATTTCTTCCATTGTCAATATTATTATATGCAGCTGACTACTTGGGACTGGCACAAAATGTAGGCATAACTGACTACAAAAGATATATTTAAAAAGAGAGATAGAGATAAACCAGAAATGCTAAATATTTTGTGCACACAAGGCCAGACTGGTTTTGCCTTGAGTGCTATTTTGATCTCATTCACATACTTCATATACCTCAGTTGTACATAGACATTATTCAGATTTTAGGTAGGTTGATTATGAAAGACTATTTTCACAATGCAGCTAATTGCTATTCTTCACTGACAAAGATGTACCGGAAGTATAGGCTACCAAGATGTGCATTCTTACCTCTTCTAACTACTATCTGATTTTGTAGAAGATGAAGAACATTTAAAAAAAAAAACTTAGTATAGTTATTTAAAATATTAAATTATCAAATACCAGTGATCATAATAACTGAAGGCAGTGAGCTGGGATATTATTTACAGCATGTGTGTGTTTCTGCGGGCTGGATGCAAGAGGTGGGTAGGATGGAAAAAGTGGAGAGACATCAAAGCGAGAGGAGAGAGGAACAGCTGGTCGGAGCAAGTGTGTATGAAAACACACCTTCAAAGAGCAGCGGGATGTGCCAGCTTCAGCCACCTCTGTAGGACACATACACACACATACACACACATACACAAACGTACACATCGACTACACACACGCACATACATCCAGAGACAGAGCCGCTGAACTCTGCACTGCCTCCGCGCGCACATACGTTTCATGTCCGGACACGTCCTGCTCCGCACTCTGCAGCTGGGAGCGACCAGCGGCCTCTTTCTGATGAGGTCCAGCCTGAAGAAACCCAAGGGGAAATAATCAAGGCACAATATGCCTCTGGTTTGGATATTGGGACATTTTAGGACATTAAAGTACATAAATTATGCTTTTTGGTGAGTTTTATATAAAATTGTAGGCTACTATCATTATTTTACATTTTGTTCATTGCTGTTTACAGCAATACCAGTCTAAAATGACTTAATAGAAACACCCATTTGCTTCCTGTTTCCACTTCGTGACCTTTTTCAGTGACAAACAGATTTTTATATACTTGTTTTTTTGTTTTGTTTTGTTTAAATAGCAGAATAATGTCTATGTGACATTTTTAACCCCACTTCTATGACTTGGAGTCTGGACTTTTTGAATCATTGTGTACAGAGTAAAAGGTGGGGATAGGTAGGTGAAAAACGTTTTTCACCTACCTTTTTTTTCCCTCATCACACAAGCCACAAATCGGACAATACAGGATTACTCAAACATGCATGAATCAGTCAAAATACAACTTTGTGAAGAAACGCTGCTATAACAAACTTAAAAGTTCTTTAATTATTATTATTATTTTCTTCTGTTTCATCTGCTACCTACTTCACCAACATTTTTTAAAAATGTGACTCAAAACTGTAGCTACAACTAGATCAGAACCAAGAGCAAAACAATGTGGCTTTAAACTTACTTAATAATGAGTGTAAAAAATATGTTTTCCAGAAAACGTTGCAGCTGCAATGTGTGAGTTCAACGGCTGTAGCCAGAGGAGGAAACTCCCCTTAAGAAACTGGGTGATGATCACAATGATGTCCATCTTCTGGTAACGTCATGGTTTGCATCATAAGAGCACTCTATGTTATTGTCTCGTATAAGTGCTAATTACTTCATATTGTCAAGGTTTGTTCAGAAAGTTTTTCAGAGTGACATAACCACCAATAACTCCATGATCAAATAAAAGAACGTCTACATCTAACAAATGCATTAAATCCATGTTTTTATAGCTCTACACTACTTGTTGAATGAAATTCCAAAAACTCTTGCCAAATATTTTCTTCCAGACGTATTTGAAGATCGACTCCAGCTGATGCAGTCTGTACCTGTGGATGGATTAATCCCTCCTGATTATAAGTTGCATTGAGCCATCACAGGTTTGAGAGAGACAGTATCACTGAAATCATGTTGTTTTCTGAAATGGCGAGTTGTCAGCAGGCTGACCGCTGTCCACACCTC